TTATTTATCAACTAGCTTTCCGCCCGCGGCTTCGCCCGCGTGGAATTTTGTCCGTCACAGAAAAACGTTATCGCGCGCGTCCCTGTTTCAAAAACCGGAATAAAAACTATCCTATGTCCTTTCCCGGGACTCAAACTATCTCTATGCCATATTTCATCAAAATCGGTTCAGTGGTTTAGGCGTGAAAGAGAGACAGACAGACAGAGTTACTTTCGCATTTATAATATTAGTAAGTATAGAGTATAGAGTATAGATTCGGTCGATATGATAATGATGTAACGTACCGTGTTCTTGTTGGACTCCAGTAAGTTTAGATATATCCTCCATATCCTCGTTGCTGACTCTGTCACCAGCTCAGGGTGGAATTCTGCTATTACACCTGTAATTAACATACTACGTTATACTGTATGCAGTTAGCATCCTCCTACAAAAATCTTAACATTATAGAGGAAACGGGACTATTCCCACCTCTTGTTCCCACCGCTGCACTCCTGTGTAGCCAGGATCTACAGCTTGACCGCTCAATCCAACCAGTGAAGATCAAGTTTGTCCCAGGGGAAAGTTAAACTGTCATTGGAAAATCACTTAGCTAAAGTATGGATAGCTAGTCTTATGCCCGTTTTCACCATCAATCCCTAATTTTTAAGTGACCCCTATGGAAACAAAATTCCTGTTATGTGTTACAATTGGGGTCGCTTAAAAGGATTGATGGTGAAAACAGGCATTACGTACCCACAAGCACAGCCAGCTGTGTCTTGCTAGTGCTCGAGTCTTGCAGTTCTGTGATAAGTCGTTGCGCGTCACGCGCTCCCTCCGCCGACTGTCGTGCAACGCGCGCCAAACACGACAGCGCGTCCTTGCGGATGTTTGGCGTGTAGGAGAGGAGGCAGAGCTGTAACACAAGAGACACACAGCTGTAACACAAGTTAACACAGCTGTAACATAAGGAGACACGTCTGTAACACAAGGACACAACATGCACTGCACGGAATGGCGCCAGTGTGAATTATGTGATTTATAATTATGCATTTGAGTGTTTTATTTCAAATACATTATTTGAACCTGTATTTGAGGTGGAAACGATCCAGTGTGCGTATATGGTGGCGATACACGCACCACGCCTCGGAGGAGTACAGTAGGTTTGGCAGCACAACCGCCATGTATATTGAAATTTTTGTAGCCAGCTTTAGGTCATGCGAGCAGAAAACCTTGGAACGCAGCTTCCCAAATGCTGCAGCTGCAGCACTGATCCTGCTGCTGATCTCGGCATCAAGGTCACATTTGGATGTTATAGTACTCCCCAGATATCGGAACTTATCCACCTGTTTCAGTACATCCTCACCAAGCATAATGTTTAGAGAGATGAGGAGGGTAAGCGGAAACATGGCGGTCAACTCCTCAGGTACAAAGATGTACAGAAGCGGCACATGAAAAGATGCAACATTGAGCCCTCTCAGTGGGAAGGTTTGGCAGTACAGCGTCCAGAATGGCGGGAGATTGTGAAAAGGCAAGTCCACGAGTTCGAGGTGCAGCGTACGACTGAACTCGACGCGAAGCGCGATGACTTGAAGGCCCGTCCATCTGCCGCCATTCACTATAACTATGTTGGCGGCGTGCTCAGATGCCCTCAATGCGCGAGGGATTTTACCGCGAAAATAGGCTACGTAAGCCATCTTCGGGCACACCAGCGCCGCCAAGACAGCTAGGAGTCGGAGTGGTCGCCATGGCCGAAATCGGTCGGATGGATCATCATCATCATCATTGAACCTGTACACTTACCGTGACAATGTTTTCAAACAGATGCTCTGGCTGACATTTGTCAACAATTTCACCAATTAGCTTGAAGGCATCACTTATAGGCTTGCTCCAAGCTGCATCGTTACGTTTAGCAGATATGGTATCGAACAGAGACACTGGCTTGAAGAATAGTGTGCTGGTTACCCAATCTGAAAACAAAATATATATTTTACATATATTTATACAAATTGTATTGTATGGCCTAGTAATTAAAAGATAGGATTTTACAGCAAAAATGTCTTGTTGGATGTTTGGTTGACAGTGTTCATCCATCCTTAACCCTTAACCACCTAACTCTTACCTGGAGTCTCTCAGACTCCTCTCTTCTCAGGACTCTAGATAAAAAACTAAGTTGTCAAAAGGTAAATTAAGTTAAAAAATGTAATTCTTTCTAACAACAACTATTTAAAAAATATATAAAACAATAAAAACTAAATCTCTTACAGCAATGCAACTAATTACAACAAGAAACAAATTCACCGGAGTCTGAGAGACTCCCAAGTGGTTAAGGGTCAAATAAACTATTTAAAAAACATATTCATACAAACCCAATTCAAACGGAGCCAGGTCTTCTTTCAACGCAACCTCTGCAGTCTTCAGCACTTTGATGAAGAGCTTAACGTCTGGGTTCTTCGGATACCCGTCTACTAGTCGTTCCCACTCCTCCATATTTTGGAACTACGGAGCGCCTATTTCTAAAGGATAAAAATTTAAAATAACATTGAGACCAGTATTACAGATTTAAAAACAAATAGTAACCTACCTTACATACTTTTTTAAATGTCTAATGTATTATTATTATTCTGTCTAATGGCTTCAATGGTGCGAATTAAAAAAGTTATCTTTTAATTTTACCTACCCGCATAATAATATCATTAAGTGCTGGATAACTTAATTACTCGGTAATACAAGTAATTTTAATGCTAAGAACAAGTTGAAACTTGTGTTAGAAGTTTAAAATATTTTCATGTTAGTTGAAACAGGTTGAAACATGTTTCCTTAACTACTCACATGGGTAATAATGTTTTAAAATCAACGCTTTTTATGGAGCACAAATACAAGTGAAAACTTAGCGCAAAAATTATTGTAAATTCAAATTATTTTGCACAAACAAACAAAACACCGGTCATTTGCAATCACAAATTTGACAGTTGCATTTTTTTAAATGAAAGTTATAGATTTGGACAAGTCGCACTATGGAGCGAAATTGAGATTTATGGACATAGCGATTTTTTTCACAATTTCTATTTGAAAAAAATACCTATCGATAGGTTACGTTATTCTGATGAATAAATGCTGCACAAGTTTTTCTCTAAAACCAATAGTTTGACTGGAAAAAAATATTTTCCATTTTCGTTGTATGGAATGAAACATAAAGTGGTCGATTTCGACTAAGCCTTGACAGATCTTGCTTTGAAACTACTTGAGCCTTGTTCTATGGCTTTTTGACTGTAATCTTACGCTATCAGCGCGCATCCAAAGTTGCCCGTTCACAAGTTATGAGGTTCTGAAAAATTAAAAAAAAGTAAGTAAAAGTGACTTTTTTTTGGAATATCTTTAAAGATTTAACAAAAATATAAAGATTTTATACGTTAATAATGTAAATTAACCTTAAATTACTGCTAAAAACACATTTTAATAAACTTAAAAGGAATTAAATCAGCGATTTTTTTTTCACAATTTCTGTTTAAAAAAAATACCTGTCGATAGGGTATGTTATTCTGATGAATAAATATTATGAACGTTTTTCTCTAAAACCAATAGTTTGGCTGGAAAAAAATATTTTCCATTTTCGTTGTATGGAATGAAACATAAAGTGGTCGATTTCGACTAAGCCTTGACAGATTTTGCTTTGAAACTACTTGAGCCTTGTTCTATGGCTTGTTGACTATAATCCTGCAAAAACAGCGCGCGCCCAAAGTTGCCCGTTCAGAAGTTATGAGGTTCCAAAAAATGAAAATTAAAGTAAGTAAAAGTATCTTTTTTTGGGTATAAATCTTTAAAGATTCAACTAAAACATGAAAATTATATACTTTAGTAATGTAATTAACCTTTCTCTTGTCGTCTTATCTAAAGAAAAGTCAATTTTACTTACTTTAATTTTCATTTTTCGGAACCTCATAACTTCTGAACGGGCAACTTTGTGCGCGCGCTGTTAGTCTAGGATTATAGTCAACAAGCCATAGAACAAGGCTCAAGTAGTTTCAAAGCAAAATCTGTCAAGGCTTAGTCGAAATCGACCACTTTATGTTTCATTCCATACAACGAAAATGGAAAATATTTTTTTCCAGCCAAACTATTGGTTTTAGAGAAAAACGTTCATAATATTTATTCATCAGAATAACATACCCTATCGATAGGTATTTTTTTTAAACAGAAATTGTGAAAAAAAAATCGCTGATTTAATTCCTTTTAAGTTTATTAAAATGTGTTTTTAGCAGTAATTTAAGGTTAATTTACATTATTAACGTATAAAATCTTTATATTTTTGTTAAATCTTTAAAGATATTCCAAAAAAAAGTCACTTTTACTTACTTTTTTTTAATTTTTCAGAACCTCATAACTTGTGAACGGGCAACTTTGGATGCGCGCTGATAGCGTAGGATTACAGTCAACAAGCCATAGAACAAGGCTCAAGTAGTTTCAAAGCAAGATCTGTCAAGGCTTAGTCGAAATCGACCACTTTATGTTTCATTCCATACAACGAAAATGGAAAATATTTTTTTCCAGTCAAACTATTGGTTTTAGAGAAAAACTTGTGCAGCATTTATTCATCAGAATAACGTAACCTATCGATAGGTATTTTTTTCAAATAGAAATTGTGAAAAAAATCGCTATGTCCATAAATCTCAATTTCGCTCCATAGTGAGTCGTCCATAAGTACCATGAACACAGATATGGATACCATGAAGCTACAAATATGTACAGACCCTAGTTTATAAATTGAAAATGATTTTCATTATTATTTGCTTATTAAAAATTATAATAATTGTGATTTTTAGCTTGTGCGTACATACAAGAAACAAAGAAAAAACACGGTGGGAAATGAAGATTACGATAAGTAACATCTCCAAGGCCATAAAGATTTCGAAACGTAACATGCGTTGAACGACACGACGGACACGTATAATGCTACCGAATTTAAAAGTAGCACCATTCATTCATTTCTATAGGAACGCAATGATCAATACATTTTGTTAACTTATTGTCACTGTCAGTCTGTCAATGAAACGTCAATTCGTCAGAATTAATTCGTCATTCATTTACAAAATTCAATCCAAATTAGATAATTTAAAATTGTAACTAGATAATAAATTATCCAAGCTGGCATCAAGAAGGATTCTTTTCGTGGGCATCCACAGCTTTTCTCCGACCTTGTCGTATCGCGCTCCATTTAATAGGTTAGGATTTATGTTTCAAGTTTGAAAAAGTATAACTTTTTAAATCTTTTGTGTGCTTTTAGTACTTTAGTGCGTTCTGTGCTCGTAGACTATTTACCCTAGTGTTTAAAATTTGAGGTAAGGCCAACCCTTTCCTATTTCTATTCCTACAACTGCAGTAATAACATCTAACATCATCTATGTCTAACATTTACAATATTCTATGTTCTCTTAAATTTTAAGAATAAACTCACTTAATTTCCTTTGTTAAACTCACGCAAGATATTATAGGTCTCTAAGGCAAATATTAACCAAAAAACGTTTGTGTTAACATTGTAAAATAGTTAACTTTAACTAAACATGTTTGTGGCTCACTTCAGTTAAATGCTGATACATCATATTCAAGATTCACTTTGACAGTTGCATGCACTTGATTTTGGTTCAGTCACCATCTTCTATTCCAAATCAATACACTATCAGTGTTCACCTGTTGAGAGCCATTATCAATAAAACGGTAAACATTTTTATTTCATTGTTTTTGTCTCTGTACCAAATTAAAAAGCTTTTATGTCCTTTTAAATTAAGTGTTAAAGCTTGTATGTCCTTCTGAATGAAAGCTTTAGTAGTTTTCAGTGAGTAAACCATAAATTTTCTATCAAGTATTGATTTTTCCATCAAAGTAATGAAATATCAAATATGGTTCTAATATTAACTGCGTTGCTTCTAGTTCCAAGGTTGAACTCTTTTGAATACACTTAATATTATTCCTGAAAGACCATATGGGTTTCAGTTAATCAAAGAAATAGGATTTTAGTAAGTTACATTATAATCAGGAATTATTCATTTATTAATTCGAGTTGAAAAATAAATAACATCATAGGTCCTTATTGTTAAATGAAAGCTATTCAAAGACTTGGACTCAGAAAGATCTTAAAAAGTGGGTACTGTCTATAAACTACCATAGCTATTGTGGATAACACTGAAATGAAAAAACAAAGTTAAAAGTCTAGTGCTACACCTCTGATTTTTCTCTTTTACAGACTATTTTCTCACCTAAACTTTCTCACCATGACAAACATTTCAAAATCAAAATCAGCTAGCGTAATAGAGTCCCAAAGCTCCAAAGTTGCACAGCGTGCTATGGAGAGGGCTATGCTCGGTGTTTCTTTACGAGATCGAAACAGAAATGAGGAGATCCGTAAACAAACTAAAGTCGCTGATATAGCCCGACGGATTAGCAAGCTGAAATGGCAATGGGCAGGGCACATAGTACGCAGAACAGACGGCCGATGAGGCAGCAAGGTTCTGGAATGGAGGCCGCGTATCGGAAAACTCAGCGTTGGACGTCCACCCACAAGGTGGACCGACGACATCATAAAGGTAGCAGGAAAGCGCTGGACGCAGGTCGCTACCAACCGGGTAACATGGAAAACATTGGGGGAGGCCTACATTCAGCAGTGGGCGTCCTGTGGCTGAGATGATGATGATGATGATGAATAGAGTCCCGCTCACTGTCCCCTGCTTAGACCAGCTGGCACTTCAACATGACATCACCACAGTGCCACTGCCTGTACTAAAATCATGTGTTGTATCATTTCTTTAGCAGTGCAATATTCAATTTAGTACTTCAAACGCCCGTTGTCCCCAGTCTCAACCGTCGCTGGCACTCCAACATGACGTCACCGCAATGCTCGCCGCGGCACCCGCCGGGGCGGAGCGAACCTCGCCCCCCGCCCGCCGCGCCCGCGGTCCTGAAGAGATACGACGACATCGTCAAGTCGCAGGAGGATAAGCGGGAATACAGGTACGTCATTGGTAAAAGTTTAGTCAAGTCGATTCGTTTTGCACGTCCAGGCACTCTTTCAAGAGGGAGATTTGCGACTTATTAGGTAAATGAAAACTCACGCACACACACACACACACACACACACACACACACACACACACACAACCTGCATGCAAGCCTATGTTTCTTTTTTTTTGCCCCTTTGACTGTTTTTTACGAGATTGTAATAATATATAGAATCCATTATTGGCTGTAAGAACAAAAATACCTGTTTGTATTATTATTATAAAGAGCTGTGGTTTTCTGAATAAAGAAAAATAAAATAAAATAAATAAAATAAAATAAAATAAAATATTGAAAGTTTCATAACATAGGCCAGGAATGGCGAACCAATGGCACGCGTGCCATTGATGGCACGCGCCACAATATTTAGGGCACTCCACCAATGACCCCAAAATTCACTATGAAATAAAATAGCAAATAATTGTTTTGAACCCTCCCTCATCTATTGTATTGTGCCACATCAGTTGGCGCTATTGTAAAGTAAGGTGCTATAATGCTGTCATTCGCCAGGAGCCACTTGTACGATGGTCCCTCATTGATAGCATTTTAAGTGGCACGTCTACGACTACATCAAAATTGTTTTTGAAAAGTGGCACGTTGCTACATAAAGGTTCGCCATCCCTGACATAGGCCAACCGGGCGATGTGGAAATCATTGGGGGGCTCCTAGGCAGCAGGCTCATTTATTTTTGCAAGTTGGCTTTTAAAAAGCACCTACACGTCCCAGTATTAGCCCTACTACTGCTTCGGAACAATAAATGGGCCAGTGCTGAGAAGAAGCAGCGCAAGAAACTCAGTCGCTATGATGATGAACTAGACCTAGGAGCATTTGTAAAACCAGTGAATGTTCTCGATTTAAACGGACCACACTTCGAACATGATGTTCTTGTTACTATAATCTGATTTTAAAAACTAGCCGTTTGGTTGTAGGTCCGTTTCTACAAAGATTGTTCATCATTATCAAATCAAATCAGTATTTTAGATATCCTCCATGCATATATCCTGAAGAAGAAACAAAAGGTAGGTATTTAGGAGCATATAATTTTCAGAGAACGAAACCTGATGGGTTTCAACAGGTTTCCACTCATGAAGAATACTATAAATACTCGTACATAACTCAACGCACTATTTATAAAGTTATTGCTGTCTACACTATCTATAGTGGAACCCGATCGCGTGGCAGGTCACCTATGCGCTGGACCGACCAAGTGAAATCGGCAGTGGGAGACGGCGTATATGACTGCACCAGACAGTCTGCCAATAGAGAGAGATAGCGGGAGATTGTGCGGAGAGTTGTATCCGCTTCTACAACCGATGTGAACAACGCCTCAACGTGACCACGACCGCTCTGCCAATAGCGAAACGAATAAGAAGATGTATAGTTGACTTGTTGTAATATGAATGTTCTTTCTCCAGAGGCCTGGTGCTGTCAAACCACCTCAAAGTCCTGCTGGTCAGCGACCCGACCACAGACAAGTCGGCTGCGGCGCTGGACGTCAACGTTGGTGAGTCATCATCATCATTAATGTAGTCAGCGTCAAATAGCTCGTGACACCCAAAGTAGCCAAAAAGTTCGCAACACGTCTTTGTTACAATAGGCTAGATGACAAAATTTCAATTATTTGTCCGTCAGACAGATACCTAATTAGAAAATATTAGACTCATATTTTTTATTTTCTTTCATAATTAAATAATAACAGTGCTACATCGAGTTGAAAAAAATGATACGTCACGCTTGAGTAAAATTTTTACTCAAAAGTGACGTCTCGCGACATTTTTACTCAATATAATACTGTAATTATTGGATTATGGAAAAAATTAAAAGATATGAGTCTCATCATCATCATCATCATCATTTCAGCCACAGGACGTCCACTGCTGAACATAGGCCTCCCCTAATGCTTTCCACGTTGATCGATTGGTAGCAGCCTGCATCCAGCGCTTCCCTGCTACCTTTACGATATATGAGTACGAAAATATGAGTCTTAATATTTTCTAATTATCTGTCTGACGGACTAAATAGAATTTCAATTTAATTACCCAGACATCATCCCTATTAGAATAAGGTTGTGTTGTCAACTTTTTGGCCACTTTCGGTGTCACGAACTATTGGACGCTGACTGTACGAGTGTTTATAAGTTCCTAAACCTGCCAACAGATGGCGCTGTGCTAAGTTACCTCGCACAAGTGAAGCATTCACAGTGCCCCTTAGAGTTATAAAGGCAGATCGTTTTGTCTGAAGTTTACTGTCTTTAGAACAATGTACCTACCATTGTTTGTTGTTTTTATTGGACAAGTACCTATAGTATAAAACAAACTTTCATATCAATATCTTTTTTTTATGCATAACAAGGCAGATATTTGACCACAATCGCACTTGATGTTAGTGGGATGCAGTCTAGGATGGTACATATCTAAAATGAAGGATTCTTCTTCATACAACGCCTATTTTTATCGTCTATAAAATTATTTCTCAGGCCCAGAACACACGGTCAAACGCAGTTGCAACGAAACTGCAACTTCTAGTTACTTTTGAGTTGCATCTAACTTGCTGCCATAGATTCCGTTGAGAGACCACACATGACGCGACCACTTTGAAACCGGTTTGAAATGGTTGCGTCATGTGTGGTCTCTCAACGGACGCTATGGCAGAAACTTAGATGCAACTCAAAAGTAACTAGCAGTTGCAGTTTCGTTGCAGTTGCGTTTCACCGTCTGTTCTGGGCCTTAAACGAATAGATGGACAAAAACACTGTTCATTATATAAAACGATTGTTTTGTGAGGTTATCTCCTCTGACTTGAATACGCCACTTGAATATACTGACAATGTTAAAAATTTCCCGGAATACATTCAATTTAAGTTGATACAAATGGAATACTGAAATACACTACAGACGTCCGATTGTCCCGGCATAAGATCATTACGAGTAAGTGTCGTAAGTGACGACTAACCAAATAATCATAATTTTATAAATTAGTGTATTTATCTATGTTATCAAAACACTTTAATTCTGAGAAGATAACGTGTTGTTCAATACAATTTTTGTTAAAAAATCGAATGCCTTTACTTTATGCTTTACTTAGAATCATCCCGTCTGCTCAAAAAAATGTTTGATAAACCTGCCTGTAAATACTATCAGTTGATTACACAAGTAGTATAAGGGCCCTCGCCCACGGCGACTTTTTGTCGCGCGTTTCGCTACTAACGCGCGTTAGTCGCATTTGCAACGCACTACAGAAGTGATGCCAACGCGCTACTAACGCGCTACAGCAACGCGACTGCAGCGCTACAAAAAGTCGCTGTGGGCGAGGGCCCTAGAGGCCGGTAGATATCATCTCATCAACGCGGCGGCCAAGACGGCACACTGGCAAGGCATTTTGAAAACCGGCGGCATGTGTGGACACGCCATAACATAATAATTATTACTTTATTCTCGCTCAACATCCTAGAGAATTGGGCATGGCTGAAAACCAGTGTTGCAAGGATCTCTCCTTACAACGTAGACTGAGCCAGGTCCAATTGCCTTCGGTGTACTTCATATTATTATAGTTGTAAGTCTAACTACCTGTACCTGTCTAATGGTTCGAAGGCAATAAATACATTTTTTTTTTATTACTGACACGATTGCTACCATGTACCGATATGTCTGCCCAATGCCCATAACATCTCACCCGCAAGTTTCTTCAGTTACTCCGTGACCATGGCGCTTGCAAAAGTGCCGAAATATCGGAAACTCAAAATTAAGGTACATGGTAGCAATCCCGTCAGTAATAATAATTAAATTCATATTATATCGCCTATTTTTAATATAATTCATTACTTATCGTCACAACTACTTCTTCCCGTACCTCAGGTACTAACTCAGCTGTAACCTGAAGTTTTGTGCTGTAATTTTTCTTATCTAATATTCCTTTTGTTTTAATAAATGCATAACGTGGGCTCTCAGTAAGTCAAAGACGGTTCTGATTCTACCAAGTGAGCTTCGTTCTATAATGAACCTTAGTGTGTTGATAATAAGCCACATTGTTGCAGGCTATTTGAGCGACCCCGCCGAGCTACCAGGGCTGGCGCATTTCTGCGAGCACATGCTCTTTTTGGGCACTGAGAAGTATCCAGAGGTTAGTCATCATCGTCATCATCATTTCAGCCACAGGACGTCCACTGCTGAATATAGGCCTCCAATGATTTCCATATCGCCCGGTTGGCAGCGGCCTGCATCCAGCGCCTTCCTGCTATCTTTATGAGCGAGACAGCGACCTGGCTGCCTAATGCTTGGGGGGGGGGGGGGGGNGTCTGCTGCGCATCTGGCCGCCGTGACGTCACATCGCTGTTCTGGTACGGACGGGGCGAGCATGAGGTGTGCGGGTGAGTGCGAGGGAGAGTCGCATTCATAAAATAAAATTCATTTATTTTTGCAAATAGGCTTCTAAAAAGCACTTTTACACGTCCCAATATTAACGTGTGAGGTGCGCAGTTAGCTAGATCGCGTTGTAGCCTCACGAATAGGTCATTGTGGGTGATATGTGGTTTATCTTCTTACTCAAAGCGACCCTAAAAAGCGAGCAACCTGTCTAGGCGCGTACATAGGGTTTAGTGCGAATTAACATCAAACGTCGTCACTAATAATAGCGTTAAATAAATATATGAAGATTTTAGTTCTTGAAAGTTTCCGCTAGGGGCGCTGTACAATCCGTCATACATTTAATGTCACTGTTTTATGCAGTCGACATCAAATACGTTTGACGTAAACTCACACTACGCCCCCATTTCCCGAGGGGTAAGCTTAGCTTGCCGTGTGGTGACGGCAGAGTAGAATACATTTGTCACCAACCCTACTCTTCCCGCGGGAGGCGACTTAGGGACTACACATCAAACAGAGAACGGGCAGCAGCGCTCTCTGACAAACATCAATCTTTTAAACTGCGATCTCCAACCCGCCTGCCAAGCGTGGAGATTATGGCAAAACCCTCCACTATAGTGGAGGAGGCTCATAGTCCAGCAGTGGACTGTAAAGGGCTGTTGATGATGATGAAGCTTAGCTTTGCTTTCGCTCAGTTCAGCTTAGGCCTCGCGAACTGTAGTAGTATTAAAAGCGTCCCGTTGGCACCCTTGGGGTACAAAACCTTAACAAAATTGCTGTTATTTACAGGAAAACGAGTACAACAAGTTCCTATCAGAACACGGGGGCTCATCCAACGCTTCTACATCATCCGACCACACCACCTACTACTTCGACGTACTACCAGCACATCTGGCCGGCGCTTTGGACATGTGAGTAGTACGGGAATATTCCCACCTCTCGTTCCCACCTCTGCAACTCCTGTGTAGCCAGGATCGACAGCTTGACCGCCACAAAAACCCTACCAATGAAGGTCAAGTTTGTCCCGGGGGAAAGTTAAACTGTCATTGGACCCGCAACGAAATTAATCAGAAGAACATAGGAAGAGTTCGAAATTAAGGTTCGACTTCCCTCCATTGCAAAGCGGATGACAGGTGACAAAAAAAAGGTTTAAAACCTTTAAGAAAAGATTAGACAGTCTAGGATGCTAGAATTTATTATTCCCAAAACAGGTAGCAATTATTACAAGCTATTAGTGTACAACAGTGGTATGAGACTCAGCCTAAGCACAGACCACCGAGTTTTAGTTGGCCGCTCAGAATACGGAACAAACCAGAAACCGTCAACGGGCGTAAATGTGTATTCATATAAAGTACTCCAAATCGCACTAATTTGACTTTAGAGCAATCAGTCAATGGCCGGCACGCGCATTGTTTACATATCCGTCAGATTGACACTTTATAATTAAATTATGCCGTCTTGTGCCGTTCCAACATGTAAGAATGCTACTGGAATTACGAAGAAAGTGCATGGGATCATGTTTTATCCGTAAGTAGCACATTTCCAATTCATTTTAATTAAATAATAATTTTCAAAAAAAATCACGGTTGTATTTTGTAAGTGTTGCCACAGGTCAACGGAATATTTTACCCTACTTTTTTATATTGAATTACATTTGTCTACTTATAAAAAATTCACGCGTTAATTTTGTTAGCGTTACCACAGAATAATGGAATATTTTCCCCATCCTTTTTGTTTTAATTAGTTTTTAGTGTAATTTCATCCATGACATGACAACCTGATTAATTAAATTATAAGTGCCACTTGTGGTCTAAACTGAATAAATATTTTTGATTTTGATTTGATTTCAATATATTGAATTAATTTATAATATTACTCCCTAATAATGAGGAGATAATAAATTACTATCGTGAATTTCATACTTTCCCATTTATTCAAAAGTAAGGCATTGGTATCAACAGATCAGCAGCAGCAATATTTGTATATTTAATAATAATTTTAAGTAATTAATTATTGCTTACATACTTACTCTGATTTTCTTTCAGAATACACAACCAGAGTTGCCTCGCAATCAAATTTAAGTATTGGTGATGTTTTTGATTTGGATTCTGTTTTTGACTTCAAGAAAAGTTAAACTAAAAGCACTACTGCGCCGTAAACAAATGTTTTGTTGTCGATATGTTTACATAATAAAGAACCTTAAGTTTCTTTTTTGTTTTACTTGGCATTCTAAAATTAATATTCGACTTTTGTAATTGACTTTTAAATAACATATTATTATACCTACATGTAGTATATTACACTATTTAATAGAAATAAATAATCATCTACTTAGTTACTTAGGAGTACAAGTTAAATTCATAGGTAGGTAGGTACTATCTATGCCTATGGCCAGTCATGTCGTCTAGTTCTATCGCAAAGAATCACCATTTGATAAGAGCGAGAGCAAAAACGGAAATGGATAGTTAACACTGGCCGTGTATGTACTTATTTCACTTACTTATTTTTTACTTGTTTAACATCTCTTTAAAAAATTACATAATTTTACCCCAAAAATGGGGGTGTCACACAGCACTAGTAACACTAAAGGGGGTAGAGGGGCGCGGGAGGGGAAGTATTTTGGACACAAGTTGCCGCGTAGAAATGTTATCGAACACTCCTTCTGGTTTGTTCTGTATTCTGAGGTTGGCCGATAGTTTTCGGGTGTTAATCAGTACGGAGATGTATGAAAGTGCGCATGTTACACCGATTTGGACGGCCGATTCCAAATCTTCATACAAATCAAAATCGGGCCCAACTATCAGCCAACTAAAAGTTGGTGGTCTGCGCCTAGGCTAAATGGTCTATGATTCAGTTATTGCAGAAAACCCACTGTAGAAAAGCCAGTTAATCTGCCATATGACCTGATTGTTGACAATGGTCCAGAAAAATTGTTATTATATGGCCATTAAAGTTTTTAACTCATTGCCCGCGGAATTAAGAGGGCTTAGCGGATCTCAGTTTCAAACCAAACTGCATGCATGGCTTGTGGAGAGGTCGTTCTACTCATTAAATGAATATTTTAATTGTAATGTTAAGTGACATACAATAAGTACATTATTATCCTGAGGTGACATTTTCATTATGATATGACAATAATTATTCAATATGACATTCTGTATTAGTTTATAATTTAATTAATGATAATGTATTAGTTTTCTGTTTTTAATCAATTAATGTAATATGACATGTTAGTATTATTTTCGATATAAAGTCTACTACTCTTTTTAATATTTGCACGCTTCCTAGTTTGAGCAAATTTCAGTGAAACCTACCAAATCTATGTAAGACCACTTATGTACCTGGAATTACGCAAATAAAGAAATTTGATTTGATGCTGATGATTATCCTTACACCCGCAGTTTCGCCCAGTTCTTTATCGCGCCTCTTTTCACGGAGTCGGCCACCGGTCGCGAGCTGTCAGCTGTCAACTCTGAACATGAGAAGAACACTTCTTCTGACACGTGGCGACTGGACCAGCTCAATAAGAGTACAGCGCTGCCTACGCATCCTTTCCACAAGTTCGGCACTGGTGAGTAAGATGCCACCCCCCTTCTTGGATTGGACTGCCCACCATAGGATAAGACTCCCCCCTCCCTTCGGATAAGACAACACATCCCCAAGATTAGACCCGCCTGGTTCAGTCTGCCCTCCTTAGATTATACTGCCTCCCTCGGACCGGAAGTCCTCCATCATAATACTTCCTTCGGATCAGACAACATCTTTCCCAGGATTAGACCCCCCTGAGTCTGAATCAAACAGTCCCCTTTGACCCCCTATTCCAGTTTAGACAGCCTCCCTGGATCTCCACTCTTCCTAATTAACCACTCCCTCGGACTAGTTCCCTCCTCTGATCAGACAGCCTCCCCTAGAGTCCTGCACCCTCTCCCCTGGATTATCCCCCCTCTACCTATTGCCTGTCGGGAACTGTCAGATGTCAACTCTGAACATGAGAAGAACACTTCTTCCGACACGTGGCGACTGGACCAGCTCAATAAGAGTACAGCGCTGCCTACGCATCCGTTCCACAAGTTTGGCACTGGTGAGTGGTTATATTAAGCTGCTTTCCCTGGATCAGATTAAATCAGACACCCCCCTCCCCTGGATCAGACCCTGCTCCCCCCCCTCTCTCCCTTCGGATCAAACAATACCTCCCCCTAGATTAGCCCCCTGAGTCAGACTATCCCCCACAGTTTATACACCCACCCACTCCCCAATTAGACTGCCCCCCAATGGTTCAGACGCCCCCCCCCCTAAATTAGACTACGCCTCTGGATAAGACTACTTCCCTTATCCCAAAAGACCCCCCTCCACGAATCGGAAAACTTCCCTATATCAGACCCTCTCCATGATTAACGTTCCCCATGGCACTACACTACCCTCCAAATCAGACGGTCCGTTCTTAATCAGACAACCTACCCTGATCAGACTTATTCCCTCTGGAGCAGATAACGCCCTTGGATAGACTTCCCTCCCCCTACTTATACCTATGTGAGTCGTCAACTTGGGACATGAGAAGAACACATCTTCAGAGGCTGGACCAGTTGAACAAATGTTACAGCGTTTCCTACGTATCCCTTACATAAGTTCGGCACCGGTGAGTGGGATATCAGCCCTCCAAGCTTCAGACTGGGCCCCCCTTTCGAATCAGATAATACCATCCGGATTAAATCTCAAACTGCCCCCCTCCACATGCAATCTGCCCTAGGCAGCCGCAATTCCGCGCACACCTCCCGCGATTCGGCCAGTATAAATGCAAGGTTGGTACGGCCATGGGTGGTGGTGGGTTGCCCCCATCCACTCGAAAAGACCCCTTCTCCCGGATCCCTCACTGGATCAGAAGTCCAGGGATCAGATTCCCTTCCCGAATGAGACAATCCCTGAATTTGAACACCCCCTGAGTCAGACTAGGCCCTTTTAGTTAGACATCCCCCTCCCTGATCAGATTGCTCCCCCTATATCTGATGGTCCCCATTTTTTACATCGATAACTATTTGCCCAAATGCCTATTGGCTACTGAGTATATCATCAGAAAACATCATCTAATCTAAATAAAAAAAAAAGCAGTTGTAATAGTTTTTTTTTTTCGGTCGTTCGTTCGTTTCAGCCGAATGCCGTCCACTGCTGGACAAAGGCCTTTTCCAAGGTTTTCCACAATGAACAGTTCTACGCTGCCCGCATCCAGGCTCTTCCCGTGACCTTCACCAGATCGTCGGTCCACCTAGTCCTTTTTTTCAGAACACTGAAATTTTTATACCGTAACCCTGTATATTATGTATTTTTCTTTTCCCCAGGCAACCGGGAGACCCTGGAGACCATTCCGAAGACGAAAGGCATCGACGTGCGAACAGAGTTGCTGAAGTTCCACGACCAGTGGTACTCCGCCAACATCATGACCCTCGTCGTTATGGGGAAAGGTAGGAATTGCTTACTAATTGAAATAATTAACAAAATATTGTTCTAAAGCTTCATTCAGTCAGTGCCTGAGGTGTGGAAGCGGCACGAGAGGGTGAGGGGTGAAATTTATATTTATTGTGACAGATCATATAAAAATGAAGATCTGAAGTTTCGCTGACATTTGACGTTACAAAAACACTCCCTTGCCGTTGCTTAACCCTAGACCTTTAGCAGAGTAAATACTCTACTCTGCCTTTAGTTACACCATTCCTAACTCAAAATTTTTATCGACAAAAAAGAGGCCAAAAAATTTTTGAGTTTTTTTTTTATTTTTTTATAGATTTTTTTTTCTTCCAATTACTTATTGTAAAGAAAACGTAATAACTTTTAAACTAAGCGGTATATCCTGATAAAATATAGTTATTTAGTAATAATGCTAAATAACAGGCGATACTAAAAAAAATACATAAAATAATAACATTCACAAAAAAGGCCAAAAAATAATAAAAAATTATACTTTTTGAAAAAAATATGCTTTTAAATTCGTGTTTTTTTTTGTTATTTGATAATTTTCTCCAAAAAATGCCCCTATAACCGGTGGTTTTTATTACTTCGTATTATTTTCTCTCGTATTACCTTCGTAAAACCAAAAATCGCATGTCTCTATCCCTATCACAACGTTTGCAATGATCGTTTGAACTAAGCCTTTCCGGGCGCGCCATTCAACGCTTCGTTAACAACGAAACTGAAAATGGCTCTAGATTTGTAATTTTGATAAAGACAAGTTAGATTTCAAATAAAAACAAAAGATTTCGAAGGAAAATAAGCATTTTAGTTAAAATTAAAATTGTTTCTACCTGTAGCGGAGAATAATGTTGTGGCAGGCCTTTGTTCAAACGATCATAGCAAATATTTAGGCACTGTTTATTTCTTAGCGGATGCCTACGTCATAACATCTACGTGCATGCCAAATTTCAGCCCGATCCGTCCAGTCGTTTGGGCTGTGCGTTGATCACTATGTCAGTCAGTCAGTCACCATGAAAGTTTAAAACAATTAAGCATATAATAATATACTCTTGTATACCATCCTCAGAATCCTTAGACGACCTAGAGTCCATGGTGGTGCCTCTCTTCTCGGCGGTCGAAAACACTTCCGTCGACGCGCCCACCTGGCCCGAGCATCCGTTTCCGCCGGAACTGCGCCGGAAGCGCGCCTACTGCCTTCCGGTTAAGGACCTGAGGTCTTTGTCCATTGACTTCCCGATCCCGGATACGAGGAAGCATTATAAGAGCGGGGTGAGTGTGGTTTTTGTGACAGTACTTAACATCAATTTGTTGGTAGGTTACTAACTTTAAGGCCCAGAACACACGGTGAAACGCAACTGCAACGAAACTGCAACTTTCTGATGATTCTTATGAATGAAACTGAAGCTGAAAGTTTCAAACTGGTCGCGTCATGTGTGGTCTCTCAACGGACGCTATGGCAGAAACTTAGATGCAACTCAAAAGTAACTAGCAGTTGCAGTTTCGTTGCAGTTGCGTTTCACCGTGTGTTTTGGGCCTAAGACCCCGCAGAATAAAGACTTAGTTCGTCGGTAGTTGGGTCGGCTTATATTCAGGATCGGTGTAATGTGTGTACTTTTTTACTGATTGATTAACAGACCGATTGAACTATCGGTCGACAAAAAGTCTGCAGTCTACGGGGTGTCTATAAACTTGTTCTAGATCCAAATGGCAATGCCAGATTTTGTATGGAAGGTGGCGTCTTTTTTTTCGCGCGGCCATCGACCAAACTTTGTTTTTTGATTACAAAATAGTGTAATAAACCAAACTTACTATGACATGTATACCTCTAAACTCAGTCTGAACTGAGTTACGAGCGTTAGAAGTTTGATGATTTACATACTAGATTTGCTTTTTGCGCGCAAGTTTTGTAAGAAATTACAACAAAATATTGCGCAAATTTTTTATTGCGCTGATTCTGCTCCACACTGATGTCTGGAGCCTTTAATGGATGGTATTGCTTGTTTACACATACAATGTGTAATGATTTTAGAATTTATATTGTATTTTATACGATTATTGGTTACTTTTAAATAGTTATTGTAACAATTTTAGTATTTGTATTGTATTTTAGAAGAACCCAAAAACCCATTATTAAATTAAAATACTTTATTTGATTACTTCCTAGGCATTTTGCAGACATTAGAATGATTTTAGAATTTATTTTGTATTACATCCAATTATTATACAGGGTGTCCCGTAATGTAACGTCAAGCCGGAACTGGGTGTTGAGGCAAGTTATGCTGGTTATCAGAAAAATATAAACAAAAATCTATGTGGCATATTTTCAAAATAATGGGCATTTAAAAAAAATCAAAAAATTCTACTCCAGGTGACGGTCTTTTTACTCGTGTTGCCACAAATCTTCACTTTTTCCAAATTTTTTTTTTGTTATGTAACCCTGAATAATGCTTCTCCAAATTGTTATCAAAATTACAAAACCAGCTGCTCCAGCTTGGAGTCAGTTTAAACTAGACAAAATTTTTATTTTGAAAATTTTTTTGGGAATAATGTATTTTTTTTATCCAAGCTGGAGCAGCTGGTTTTGTAATTTTGATAACAATTTAGAGAAGCATTATTCAGGGTTACATAACAAAAAAAAAATTTGGAAAAAGTGAAGATTTGTGGCAACACGAGTAAAAAGACCGTCACCTGGAGTAGAAATTTTTGATTTTTTTTAAATGCCCATTATTTTGAAAATATGCCACATAGATTTTTTTTTATATTTTTCTGATAACCAGCATAACTTGCCTCAACACCCAGTTCCGGCTTGACGTTACATTACGGGACACCCTGTATATTTATTATTTAATTTAATTATTTTAGATTTTTATTGTATACATTTTAGTATTTTAAAAATTAAAAAACAGCTAATTATGAAATAAGTATTGCATTTGACTAGTTCCGGGGCATGCCGTCGATAAGTCGTTTTGAACCGGTCGACTTTCACTGATGGAAGGGGAAGTTACCTTATCGCTGGCATGCCGCTGGACAGTCAGTTCGATTTGAGCGTTCGAAGCGAGAGGTACTATTAGGTTGACGTCATAATGTCGGAATTGTGTAAATCAGTGGTGCTGAAATACAAGTTAAACAACCTACAAGAGTGTTTCATTTCAAATGTCACTATTTTGTTGCAATTTCTTACAAAACTTGCGCGCAAAAAGCAAATCTAGTATGTAAATCATCAAACTTCTAATGCTCGTAACTCAGTTCAGACTGAGTTTAGAGGTATACATGTCATAGTAAGTTTGGTTTATTACACTATTTTGTATCTAAAAAACATGATTTGGTCGATGGCCGCTCGAAAAAAAAAAGACGCCAATTTCCGGCATTGTCTTTTTAACGTATTCATAAATTGTAAATTCCAACTGATTAGGTTTTGACTGTTTGTGCCAAAATAAATTTATAAAAATATACGATCGATCGAGCTAACTGCTTACCTCGCTCCCCGTGTTCGCCCCGTCTGTACCAGAGCGGCGATGTGACGTCACGGCGACCAAGTGCGTGGTTAACTTGACCTGTAGGCCTAAGATGCGCGCCGTGATAACTTTTATCGACGTCAAAATGTATGGGCAAAATCGATAAAATGGCGTGATAACCGCTTATCGCGGCGCGCATCTTAGGCCTACAGGTCACCTAGATACAATCCATAGCATCTGTAGTAGACATTTAGGATACATTGTAGATAAATAGGCATTTTGTATTAGGTTTTGTGTAACGCCGGAACAAAAACATAGGGCAATATTTTGGTCTTAAACATAGATTTCGAATGTAAAAAATATGTAATATAACTAATTAAGACATGACAAAAAAACTGAGGTATGTCTCGTTTCTGTCGGGTCTGGGTTTTTTTTGTATGGGGCGTGACCGTTCTTCTTTCGTTTCGAATGTAGCCATAGAATGTAATTTATGAGTTCGTTTTGTCCATAGCCAGGCCACTACCTGTCTCACCTGCTGGGTCACGAGGGCCCCGGCAGTCTGCTGGCAGCGCTCAAGGCTAAAGGTTGGTGTAACAGGTAAGTCATCTGGATTCGCTGTCTGCTGCTGTCTTTCCCAAAGACTATAATCCGAGCCTTATCAAGGCGAGAGTGAATAGGCATTTACAGGGCAGATATGTACCATCCTAGACTGCATCTCACTTAACACCAGGTGCGATTGCGGTCAAATACCTGCCTTGTCTAGCATAAAAAAGGTCATTCACGCCCGTATTCACAAACATTACTGGTCTCACAATGCGCGTGGACGCACAGGGTGACTGAAAATGTAATGTGAAGATGGAAGTATTGCATTTTCGGATAGATTCACTTTATTCTTTAATCTATTATTGGTACCATTAGAAAGAGCTCGTGAAGTACTTTCCGGATCAGTAACCAGTTTTTGTATATCTTGTATACTTTAGAAATAATAGAGTGAGATCACATATCGTTTCCACCCTGTATAGTCAGCGTCAAATAGTTCGTGACACCCAAAGTGGGGAAAAAGCTAGATGACAAAATTTCAATTATTTGCCCGTCAGACAGATAATTTTATTAGAAAATATTAGACTCATATTTTTTATTTTCTTTCATAATTAAATAATAACAATGCTACATCGAGTTGAAATGGCGCGTTACGTCACGCTTGAGTAGAATTTTTACTGAAAAGTGACGTCCCGCGACATTTTAACTCAATATAATACTGTAATTATTCGATTATGAAAAAGAACCAAATTTTTCAAAATTTTGTTATTATCTGTCTGACGGATTAAACAGAATTTCGATTTCATTACCCAGTCATCATCCCTATTGTAACAAAGACGTGCTGCGAACTTATTGGCTACATTGGGTGTCACGACTCTATAATAAAAGAAATCGGAATTTTACTGAAATCTAAGGCTAGCTTGCACCATCTTATTTTAACTTGAACAAACGTCAAAAGAATGTCGGTGCGATGTGGGAGTCATTGGGGGAGGCCTATGTTCAGCAGTGGACGTCCTGTGGCCGAAATGATGATAATAAAAGTATGTCAAACACCATACAAAAAAACACAACATAATAACGGTTATGGTAATAGTTACGGTTAAAGTGATCCAACTCAACCTTATTATTTACCCAACAGCTTAGTAGGTGGTACGCGTATCGGCGCGCGCGGGTTCGGTTTCTTCGGGGTGCAAGTGGACCTGACTGAAGACGGCGTGGAGCATATCGATGACATCATCACTATGGTATTCCAGGTGAGACATCATCAATCATCAGATAGTTGAAGTACAGTCAGCGTCTAGTCAAATAGTTTGTGACACTCAAAGTAGCCATAAAGTCCGCAACACGTCTTTGTCACAATAAAATTTGCCCCGATCCGTTACCTACTAGCGATCCCCTGTACCCCTAATGATACATGTACCCTTGTGATCCTCTGTACCCCTAATAATCCATGTACCCCCTAGTAACACCCAGGCTGTACCTCTAGTGATACCTTGTTCCCCTACAGATAACTTGTTTCCCTACTGATACCTTGTCCCCTAGTATTCCAAATCCCCTGTGATCCCTGATCCTCTCGCCACTATTGATCCACCGTACCCCTAATGATCCACCGTACCCCTAATAATCCTCTGTTCTTTTTCTAGTACATCTCAATGGTTCGCGCGGCAGGCCCGCAGCGCTGAATCTGGGAAATTAGTCCCCCATTCCCACTCAATTAAAAATGCCATGTTCCCCTGGCGATCCCTTATTCCCCCAGTGATCCCAGATGCCTTTTGATGCTCGCGCGTAATTATATTGCTGTCGCGACTGTGCGACGGGCGCCCGCAGTGAGTGTGCGAGCGCGACAGCAACATAATTACGCGCGAGCGATAAGGATGGGTAGCTTGGGGTCATTGGACAAAATTCTACGTGCTCGCAGACCGGGCTTTAGTGATCCCCTGTTCTTTTTCCAGTACATCTCAATGGTGCGAGCGGCTGGCCCGCAGCGCTGGGTGTGGGAGGAGCAACGTGACCTGATGGCCATGGAGTTCCGGTTTAAAGACGCGCTGGAACCCAGAAGCTTGGTGACGGGACACGTGCATTTATTGCAGGTATGTACACGCCATCAGGTCATTTAGGCTCCACTGAGGAACATGACTCTCTAATTCAGGGTTTCCCAATTTTTTTTTTGCCGTGGAACCCTAATTGATTATACTTTTCCTAGCGGAACCCCCGTACTACTCCGCCCGCACGCCCTGCCCCTCCCTTGTGCGTAAACAAGTCGGTGCGCGCGAACAACGGCAGTCACGAAACGTGGGATAATATTTTTTACGGAACCCTTGCGGCCGTTCCACGGAACCCCAGGGTTCCGCGGACCACCTTTCGGGAACCGCTGCTCTAATTTATTAAGGGCTGATTTTTCAACGTCGGATAATGTTATTATATTATAGTATATTGTACGGTCAACAGCACGTCAACGTAAACACTGTGGTATCTTACGTAGTTGCGATAGGGGCGACTTTGCAACGAAAATGTATAGCTTGATGTGCTGTCGACTGTACATTTACATTGGCAACATTGTTAGTTAATGGTATAGCTTAGCTTGTATTGTCTATGTTTACTTTGAAAAGATTTTGTCCGTTGCAAAATGGAGGCTAGATAACAAAATTTCAATTATTTGTCCATCAGACACATAATTCGAAAATATTAGACTCATATTTCTTATTTTCTTTCATAATTAAATAATAACTGTGCTACATCGAGTTGAAACGGCGCGTTAAGTCACGTTTGAGTAGATTTTTTAGTCAAAAGTGACGTCACGCGACATTTCAACTCGGAAGAAGAAGAAAGAACTGCTTTTAACGCGATACGCGGATAGGTAACATTGAAATTGAATTAAATTAGTTCAATTATGCAACGCGAAAGTTTAAAATTAATCATAAATTACTTTAGTTAGAAGACGTCTGACTATTGAAAAATCATCCCACAATAGGGTAGTTAACACACTAATTGACATACCTTTATGAGCTGTCAATAAGCACTAATCCCACGTATTGTATTGGAATTCTAAGAATGACGTCACATTTTGCCATTGAGGTGACTATTTTTGTTCTAAAAAGTGTTGTTTGTTGATTGAATTATAGAGCCAACTCAATTTTCAGGGCAAGGATGCATGCTATAATATTTTATCTATGATTTTAGACGACAAATGTATGGGATTATCGTGAAAAGTCGATAAAAGTTTATCGAGGCGAGCATTTTAGGCCAACTGCTGATGATATGATGTAGTTAATCATCTTGAAATCCTAAAAACCATAGATTTTTCTCTTCTCCAGGAGTTCCCAATGGAAGACGTACTAAGCGCGTACTACTTGATGACGGAATGGCGTCCGGAACTGATTGAAGAATTACTAGCGTTGTTAGTGCCTGAAAACGTTAGAGTGGGCGTCGTGGCCAAGTAAGTGATATCTGACACCAACCAATGAAAATGAGCACACGTCACTATAGTCTGGTCCGTGAGCACGTAGAATTTTGTCCAATGACCCCAAGCTACCCATCCTTATCGCTCGCGCGTAATTATGTTGCTATCGCGCTCGCACACTCACTGCGGGTGCCAGTCGCACAGTCGCGACAGCAATATAATTAAGCGCGAGCGATAAGGATGGGTAGCTTGGGGTCATTGGACAAAATTCTACGTGCTCACGGACCGGGCTTTACACCACTGTACACTGAGGGACACTATACACTGAGTCGACCTGAGCTCGCGATTCTGGTGTCTGACACCCTTTTGCAAAAAAATGCTAAGCCGGGTGCTGCTGATGTCTGACACCATTGGACACTGATAGGGAGGGATGCAAGTGATATTGGTGTCTGATACCGCGCTAGTCAAGTGAGCTCGTGTCTGACACGACTGGACACTGGGCAGAGAAGTTAATAGATAGTAGCTGACTGAAGTAGTTAATATTATCCCAACTAATATTATAAATGCGAAAGTAACTCTGTCTGTCTGTCTGTCTGTCTGTCTGTCTGTCTGTCTGTCTGTTACGCTTTCCCGCTTAAACCTCGCAACCGATTTTGATGAAATTTGGCATAGAGATAGTTTGAGTCCCGGGAAAGAACATAGGATAGTTTTTATCCCGGTTTTTGAAACAGGGACGCGCGCGATAAAGTTTTTCTGTGACAGACAAAATTCCACGCGGGCGAAGCCGCGGCCGGAAAGCTAGTTCATTATAATTCATGCTAAATCATGTATTTCCTCCGCCATTTTCTGCAGTTTGGCATCTCACGTCACATCATTTTACCGAAGTCAGCCCTATAGCTTCGGCGCAATGCCGATCACTGACGTTTGTCAACAAAATGGTTGACCCTTCTTCTATTCTGTGCTGATAGCAACTAGTGTCTGACACTGTATGGCAAATGCTACATTGTCTGACATCGCTGGACGTAGACGGGCACGGATGCAGACCTGACACCACACAAGTCAAATTGTGGACGTCTGCCACCACCGGACACTTATATTAAGGCGTGTTGGTGTCTGACACCATTGGACACTGTACACTGAGCCAGGCTTAATAACTGCTGATGTCTGTCATCACCTTTCCCGAGCATTAAAATGGTAGTGCTAGTAGTACTGCTAGTGTCCTGTGTCTGACATCGTGTATAGTAAGTTAGCGTATGTCTAACATCAATACACTGAGCTAGACGTTCTAAGCGCATAGTACAGCGCATATTAAAGCCGGACATCAAATTGTTTGGTGTCTGACATCCAGCGCGTTATGAAGCCACTCATCTGACACCATTGGACACCGTACACTAAGGCAAGGTCACGGAATAATTGATGATGTCTGATACCCATTAACATTTGACATGACACCGTCCGTTCCCCTATCACTGAGAGATCGATAATTACGGGGCACTGATGTTGTCTGACATCACCATACTGCATCACAATCCTTGAGCTGAATTTGGGCAAATTATTCTGCATTCATCTTATAATTGTCCAGAAAATTGTTAGAACTTTGTCCTTAGCCTTTAGTGCCAAATAAACACTTTTTCCTTATTTCTTTCTTTCTCTAAAACAGCCTCTTCTATTCCAGATGCTTCGGCGATAAATGCACACAGACAGAACCGTGGTACGGGACCAAATATCTGCAGGAGGACATCGAAGAATCCAAAATCAATGTGAGTTTATCAAAATAATTATTTTAATTCTGAAATAGGTTTATGTTATCCTAAATATGAATAGTTTATTTTATTTTATTTTATTTTATTTTTCTTTATTAAGGAAATTTAGTTGGTTAATAAGGACATGAAATCTTTGGGATTCCACTAACAATACTTTTGAAATATAATTAAATGGCTAGATTAGAAGCCCACCTCGCAAAACGGGGTGAAGGGAAACAGAAGAAAAAGTAGAAATATAGGTTATTTAGTTAAGTTAGGTATGTCCATGTGAGTTCGTAACCTATTAAAAATTAACTGGGCGGTGCACATAGCTTGTAAAACTGATGGCCATTGCTGCATTGGGGCAGAAAAGTTTTTAGTGGCGAGTGTTGGCAGTTGACTGATGATCTGGTGAAGATTACCTGGATGCGGGCAGCGCGACCGCTTATTATGTTAAACCTTGGGGGCGGCCTTTGTTCAGCAATGGACGTTCTTAGTTAAAGCAATTGAACCCTATTCATGAAAAAGGTGACCGAGTTTCTTCCGCCACTTCTTCTCAGCACCAGCCCATATGTTGTCCCGAAGTGGTGGTAGAGCGAGCTGTATTTGGGACGTGTATAAGCGCCCTGGAAAGAGCCTATGTACTAATAAAAGCTTTGACTTTGACATCATCATCATTTCAGCCATAGGACGTCCACTGTTAAACATAGGTCTCCCCCAATGTTTCCATGTTAATCGATTGGTAGCGGCCTGCGTCCAGCGCTTCCCTGCTACCTTTATGATGTCGTCGGTCCACCTTGTGGGTGGACGTCCCACGCTGCGTTTTCCGGTACGCGGCCTCCACTCCAGAACCTTGCTGCCCCATCGGCCGTCAGTTCTGCGTACTATGTGCTCTGCCCATTGCCACTTCAGCTTGCTAATCCGTCTTGCTAGGTCAGCGACTTACGTTTGTTTACGGATCTCGTAAAGACTTTGACATGTACTGACTGACTTTGACTCGTAAATACTTAATGCTATAATGTAAATATTTCCACGCCACAAGTGGCAGAAGGTGCTGAACCCGTTCTTATTTAATATCTTGTTACCACTTTCTAAGAAATAAATGTTTTTGATTTGATTTCATGCTAAATGATTTCTCTCTACCGTAGGAGTGGAAGTCCGTGAAACTGAATCCGGACCTACGAATGCCGCCTCCCAACGAGTTCATACCGTCACGTCTACAGCTGGAGACCGGTGACGATCCGACACTGGACGTCATAGCGCCCGCCATCATCAAGGTATGTCACTTAAAGGTCGGACCGCATTTGCACAGCGCAGCGCGGCACTGTAAAGCGCGACACAAAGCGTCAAATTATTATGGCGGCGCTGCAATGAGCGTCGCTGCGCGTCTCAGTACAGATGCTTACGACAGAATATTTAGACTCGCAGTGCAATGAATGACGCGTAGCGCCGCATAACTGGGATCCGACCTTAAGTATTTTCACATCCTCCCTCACATACTACTAGCCTATGATTCAAGCATGTATACAGGTGACTTGTAACGAATTATAATACAGGTCATTTGCAGCCAATTTAGTTTTGTATTTACTTAGGCAAAAGTCAACCATATAAGAGAAATTTTGTTTTTGTAAAAATTAAAAGAAGTCAACTTTAGGTTTGATGAATAAAACAAAAAAACTATCTGTTAATTTCCACGACTTTTTAACCTCATTAAAATCAAAAAATCTTGTAAATGTTGAAACTAGAGTTGCAAATTACCTGCTGTACAAAGATTTTCGCTAATTACAGGTCACCCTGTATCTGTGTTCATTATATTACATCAAACAATGTTTTCAGGATACGCCTATGATGAGGATATGGTTCAAGAGGGACAACGAATTCCACCTGCCCAAAGCCATCCTCACGTTCGATCTGGTTAGGTGAGTACATTATATTATAAGTTACAACATAAATACACTGGTCATCACAAAAATCGGCCCACCTACGTTTTACAGGAAAACTCGTTTCTACTGACACAATCTTGGTACCCCAACAATATTGGTGTTATTTGAAAGCCCAATAAATATCCTTAAAGAAAAACACATTTAATTTCCTAATAAACGATTAACATATACAATAAATGTGACTTGAAAAACTTGAAAAAAGACCTCACTTTGGGCTCACCTCTGGGATCAATTAGGCCAATTTTTATGGTTATAAAACCAAATAATAATCTCACGTGTCTCTTTATCAGATGGATAGCGATTAATCCCAACTTAACAGTTTTATAGCCATAAAAGTTGGCTCACCTCAGTAGTTCCAGAAATCTTTTAAATGAATTCGTTCTACAATGGCCGGTTGGTGGCGGCCTGCATCCAGCGCCTTCCACCAACCGGCCATTGTGGGAGGAAATCATTGGGGGAGGCCTATGTTCAGCAGTGGACGTCCTATGGCTGAAATGATGATGATGATGAATTCGTTATAGTCTGGTCCATGAGCACGTAGAATTTTGTCCAATGACCTCAAGCTACCCATCCTTATCGCTCGCGCGTAATTATATTGCTGTCGCGACTGTGCGACGGGCGCCCGCAGTGAGTGTGCGAGCCGGGCTTTAGCTGTCATTAGCCGCGGCGTCCCATGCAGCTGCGGTCAGATCGCGTTTGCTATTTAGACGAACGCAAACGCAACAATAATCAACTCTTGCACGCGCAATGATCGCCACCGTGCACGCTATCGTGGCCGCAATTTGAACGCGTTATTTTGACTGAAGCTTTAGTCAATTTTGAATGAACTAAAACAGTAAGACACGGGTCTTAACGCGACGTTTATTAATGTACAATTACATTATGTACTCACGGCTTGACGTGCGGATGCGTTAAGACCCGTGTCTTACTATTTTAGTTGAAATGGAACGCGAAAGTCTAAAATCTTAAATTTTGAATGAAGTTTAAGAAGCATAGATAACGTGTAGTTTTTTCTTTTGTGTCCTTTTTTTGTCGCATGGCTCGCCGCGTCATTTGACTGAAACGATGACGATGAATATTTTTAACACGCTTTCATTAGGTCGTCGTGTATGTAACTATGAAATGGAATCTAAGAATCTGAATTACACGCACTTCTAATTCTTGTATCATCATGAAACTTGGCAATTATATTATGTAGATCAGATGACAATACAATATTATGGTACCATCGAGCTGGTCTGCTGATGTGACTGGAAGGTGACCATAGGAACTCCTAAACGAATCGGCAGAATCGCATCGAGTTTGGGTTCATTGTATTTGTCTTTTCGAGTACTTTAGTGCAGTAATTAAAAGTGTGTTTATAGTTTTTTAGACTATTTATTTATAGTTATTTATTTCCAGCCCCCTAGCATACGCGGATCCTCTCAACTGCAATCTGACATCAGTATGGGTGTTGCTCCTTCGGGACGCCTTGCAGCAATTCGCATATGCCGCAGAGTTGGCGGGCCTTCGGTGGAGCGTGGGAAACGCCAAGTGTGGGCTCAGCGTAAGTAACAGTGTCTGACATCACAGGATACTGAGATCGGTGCTGAATATACAGGCTCATCGTGTACCTATTGGTCTACTGGTATCTGACATTGTCAAGACAACGAAGCGGATGCTCTCTATATTAATGTCTGACACCACTGTAGAGACTGAGGCGTGTGTCTGACATCATCAGATACTGACATGTACCGTATATATTGACGTCTGATATAGACACAGCCTTCCCGTCTAACCACTGCACTGGTGTCTGACACCGTAAGTGACAAATGAGCTAGTTACTTCTGACTGAGTAGACACTGCCTTAGTTGCTGGTGTCTGATATCAGCTAGCCTACGCGGATCCTCTAAACTGCAATCTGACATCAGTATGGGTGTTGCTCCTCCGTGATGCCTTGCAGCAATTCGCATATGCCGCAGAGTTGGCGGGCCTACGGTGGAGCGTGGGAAACGCCAAGTGTGGTCTTAGCGTAAGTAGTGGAGGTATTATCGCCCGGGAACTTTGGGTATCTTAAGAATATTTCCCAGGATCTTTGGCCAATTTTCCTCGGAAAGGACAATGTTCGTTCTCCATACATTGTTCGCCGTTAGNAAACCATTTTTTTATTATTTTTTACCTAAAATAAGCTCTATGCAGTATTATATAGGGTCCCTGAAAATATGGGTGCAAAAGAAAATTTCTAACATAGAAATTTTTTTACTCGAAGTGCTCGGCGTTTACGACTTCAAATTATTCGTTCTTCCGAAAGCACATTCGGCGATACTTAGAAGTCGACAAAATTTGCTCTTCGGTCTTACGAGGTTAAGCGGCATTGGATTTTTCATCGGATTTTGAAACTGTTACAGATATATTAAAGATGATCCCATATTGTTGTCATTGTCTATATCAGTGTTTTATGATCACAATTCTTTTTATTTTATTCATGACCTTCGACCATTTGGACACATTAGATAGCTTCTTGTAGTATCGTGCAATATATTTTTAACTTTTAATTAAAATCTAGTTATACTGTAGCAATTTGGACGATTTATTTTATTTACAAGATCGGTATCATATTGTCTATGATGACCGCAGTCAACATCACTATTACATGGATTCCTAACAATGAAGTACGGCATTGCCTTGTGCCGATTTTACATAGATTTTATCGACACAAATTATGGAACTTCATAGGATATGGAGCAGGCCACGCCCTAAAATGTCCGGATGTCGTCATAGTATTATGGAATACATATAAAAGACTTTTATTATTTCATTTTCTAATCCTCAAGTGTCCGTTACAATCTAATTAATATTTAAGTATTCAAAAAGTAAGAGATTAATTTTGATACTTTACTGCTGTGCCCAGGAATCTAAGGCGGTTTCTGACAATGTCCTTTGGCAATATTGTTTGGGAAATTTGGCAATGTTGCCTGGGAAAATAAGGAATATTGCCCGAAAATATTGGCAATATCGGCCGAGTTTGGCAATATTGCCCGAGAAAAGATAGAATATTGCATGGGAAAAGAGGAAACGTTGCCCGAGAACTTTGGCAATATTGCTTGGGAAAAGAGGGAATATTGTCCGGGAAATTTTGGCAATATTGCCCGAAAACTATCATCATCATCATCATTTCAGCCACAGGACGTCCACTGCTGAACATAGGCCTCCCCCAATGCTTTCCATGTTGATCGATTGGTAGCGGCCTGCGTCCAGCGCTTCCCTGCTACCTTTACGATGTTGTCGGTCCACCTTGTAGGTGGACGTCCCACGCTGCGTATTTTGGCAATGCTGCTCAGAATTTTGTGAATATTTCCCGGAAACTTTGGAAATATTGCTCAGATTTTTTTTCAAGATGTGTACATATTTCATTTTTCCTATTTGGTTTACTTCCGCAGGTAACCATAGACGGCTACGACGACAAGCAGCACGTGCTTCTCGAGAAAATAATCGACCAGATGGTGCACTTCAAGGCTGATCCGCAGCGCTTCGAGATCATGAAGGAGAACCACGTCCGCGCCATCAAGAACTTCGAGGCGGAACAGCCTTACCAGGTCAGTAAAAGTACCATAGAGATGCCAGGCGGAACAGCCTTACCAGGTCAGTAAAAGTAACATATTAAGCGGCATTGGATTTTTCATCGGATTTTGAAACTGTTACAGATATATTAAAGATGATCCCATATTGTTGTCATTGTCTATATCAGTGTTTTATGATCACAATTCTTTTTATTTTATTCATGACCTTCGACCATTTGGACACATTAGATAGCTTCTTGTAGTATCGTGCAATATATTTTTAACTTTTAATTAAAATCTAGTTATACTGTAGCAATTTGGACGATTTATTTTATTTACAAGATCGGTATCATATTGTCTATGATGACCGCAGTCAACATCACTATTACATGGATTCCTAACAATGAAGTACGGCATTGCCTTGTGCCGATTTTACATAGATTTTATCGACACAAATTATGGAACTTCATAGGATATGGAGCAGGCCACGCCCTAAAATGTCCGGATGTCGTCATAGTATTATGGAATACATATAAAAGACTTTTATTATTTCATTTTCTAATCCTCAAGTGTCCGTTACAATCTAATTAATATTTAAGTATTCAAAAAGTAAGAGATTAATTTTGATACTTTACTGCTGTGCCCAGGAATCTAAGGCGGTTTCTGACAATGTCCTTTGGCAATATTGTTTGGGAAATTTGGCAATGTTGCCTGGGAAAATAAGGAATATTGCCCGAAAATATTGGCAATATCGGCCGAGTTTGGCAATATTGCCCGAGAAAAGATAGAATATTGCATGGGAAAAGAGGAAACGTTGCCCGAGAACTTTGGCAATATTGCTTGGGAAAAGAGGGAATATTGTCCGGGAAATTTTGGCAATATTGCCCGAAAACTATCATCATCATCATCATTTCAGCCACAGGACGTCCACTGCTGAACATAGGCCTCCCCCAATGCTTTCCATGTTGATCGATTGGTAGCGGCCTGCGTCCAGCGCTTCCCTGCTACCTTTACGATGTTGTCGGTCCACCTTGTAGGTGGACGTCCCACGCTGCGTATTTTGGCAATGCTGCTCAGAATTTTGTGAATATTTCCCGGAAACTTTGGAAATATTGCTCAGATTTTTTTTCAAGATGTGTACATATTTCATTTTTCCTATTTGGTTTACTTCCGCAGGTAACCATAGACGGCTACGACGACAAGCAGCACGTGCTTCTCGAGAAAATAATCGACCAGATGGTGCACTTCAAGGCTGATCCGCAGCGCTTCGAGATCATGAAGGAGAACCACGTCCGCGCCATCAAGAACTTCGAGGCGGAACAGCCTTACCAGGTCAGTAAAAGTACCATAGAGATGCCAGGCGGAACAGCCTTACCAGGTCAGTAAAAGTAACATAGAGATGCCAGGCGGAATAGCCTTATCAGGTCAGTAAAAGTACCATAGAGATGCCAGGCGGAACAGCCTTATCAGGTCAGTAAAAGTACCATAGAGATGCCAGGCGGAACAGCCTTACCAGGTCAGTAAAAGTAACATAGAGATGCCAGGCGGAATAGCCTTATCAGGTCAGTAAAAGTACCATAGAGATGCCAGGCGGAACAGCCTTATCAGGTCAGTAAAAGTACCATAGAGATGCCAGGCGGAACAGCCTTACCAGGTCAGTAAAAGTAACATAGAGATGCCAGGCGGAATAGCCTTATCAGGTCAGTAAAAGTACCATAGAGATGCCAGGCGGAACAGCCTTATCAGGTCAGTAAAAGTACCATAGAGATGCCAGGCGGAACAGCCTTACCAGGTCAGTAAAAGTAACATAGAGATGCCAGGCGGAATAGCCTTATCAGGTCAGTAAAAGTACCATAGAGATGCCAGGCGGAACAGCCTTATCAGGTCAGTAAAAGTACCATAGAGATGCCAGGCGGAACAGCCTTACCAGGTCAGTAAAAGTAACATAGAGATGCCAGGCGGAATAGCCTTATCAGGTCAGTAAAAGTACCATAGAGATGCCAGGCGGAACAGCCTTATCAGGTCAGTAAAAGTACCATAGAGATGCCAGGCGGAACAGCCTTACCAGGTCAGTAAAAGTAACATAGAGATGCCAGGCGGAATAGCCTTATCAGGTCAGTAAAAGTACCATAGAGATGCCAGGCGTAACAGCCTTACCAGGTCAGTAAAAGTACCATAGAGATGCCAGGCGGAACAGCCTTACCAGGTCAGTTACCACAAGGAGGACCGACGACCTCATCAAGACCAGATGGTGCACTTCAAGGCTGATCCTCAGCGCTTCGACATAATGAAGGAGAACTACGTGCGCGCCATCAAGAACTTCGAGGCGGAACAGCCTTACCAGGTCAGTTACCACAAGGTGGACCGACGACCTCGTAAAGGTGATAGGATGCAGACCGCTGCCGACGTAATATGGGAATCATTGGAGGAGTTTAATTTATATCTATAAAAGCGAAAGGTCACTGACTGACTGACTCAATCACTCATCAAGAAATCTCAGAAACTGCAAGTGCTAGGAGTCTCAAATTTTGCATGGGGGTTCTTTTTAGAACGTAGGTGCTGACTAAGATAGATAATTCAACCGCTAAGGGGGTAAAACGGGATCCACGCGTACGAAGTCGCGGGCGGCCGCTAGTATAGTATAACATAGTTTCATCATCTTCATCATTTCAGCCACAGGACGTCCACTGCTGAACATAGGCCTCCCCCAATGACTTCCAGATTGACCGGTTGGTAGCGGTTTTCCTACTACCTTTAAGTATTGTCCACCTTGTGAATGGACGACCCGCGCTGCGATTTCGCGAAAATGGCAAGTTTTCTTATTAAAAGTACTCTTTAAAAGCCTACATAAACAATATAAATGAATTTAAATATGGACTGAAAAAGGTGACTGATACCCGTTTTCACCATTAATCCCCAATTTTTAAGTTACCTCTATGAAAACAAAATGCCTGTTATGTGTTACCATAGGGGTCATTTAAAAATTAGGGATTGATGGTGAAAACGGGCATGAGTTTCTTGTGCCACTTCTCAGCACCTGGTCATATTGTCCCGAAGTGGTGGTAGGGCAAGCTATTTGGGACGTGTATACAGTGTGAGTCACGTTAAAGTGTACATATGAAAATATATGAAACTAGACCTATTTTTATCGATAAAAAAGAGGTCAAAAAATTTTTGAGATTTTTTTTAAAATTTTTTATAGAATTTTTTTTCTTCCAATTACTTATTGTAAAGAAAACGTAATAACTTTTAAACTAAGCGGTATATCCTGATAAAATAAAAACAGTAATAACGCAAAATAACAGGCGATACTAAAAAAATACATGACATACCTAGAAAATGCCAAAAAATAATAAAAAATGATACTTTTTGAAAAAAAATTGCTTAAAAATTCGTATTTTTTTGGTTATTTGATAAATTTCTCCAAAAAATGCCCCTATAACAGGTGGTTTTTATTACTTTTTATTATTCTCTATCGTATTACTTTTGTAAAACCAAAAATCGCATGTCTCTATCCCTATCACAACGTTTGCAATGATCGTTTGAACTAAGCCTCTCCGGGCACGCCATTCAACGCTTCGTTAACAACGAAACTGAAAATGGCTCTAGATTTGTAATTTTGATAAAGACAAGTTAGATTTCAAATAAAAACAAAAGATTTCGAAGTAAAATAAGCATTTAAGTTAAAATTAAAATTGTCTCTACCTGTAGCGGAGAAAAATGTGGTGGCAGGCCTTTGTTCAAACGATCATAGCAAATGTTGTGATAGGGATAGAGACCATGTGATTTTTGGTTTTACAAAAGTAATACGATAGAGAATAATAAAAAGTAATAAAAACCATCTGTTATAGGGGCATTTTTTGGAGAAATTTATCAAATAACCAAAAAAATACGAATTTTTAAGCAGATTTTTTTCAAAAAGCATCATTTTTTATTATTTTTTGGCATTTTTTGTGTATTTTTTGTATTGTTTTAGTATTGCCTATTATTTAGCATTATTACTGTTTTTATTTTATCAGGATATACCGCTTAGTTTAAAAGTTATTACGTTTTCTTTGCAATAAGTAATTGGAAGAAAGAAAATTCTATAAAAAATTAAAAAAAATCTCAAAAAAATTTTGACCTCTTTTTTGTCGATAAAAATAGGTCTAGTTTCATCTATTTTCATATGTACACTTTAACGTGACTCACACTGTATAATAAGCGCCCTGGAAAGTGCCAACATACTAATAATATTTCCATTTTGTTACAGCACGCGGTGTACCAACAGGCTCTCTGCTTATCAGACGTGGTATGGACCCGCTGTCAACTCATGGAAGCAGCTGAGCGTAAGTTTTAAATTTTAGACACTGTCAGTAACATCAATATAAGCTGGAAAAATTGCATTTTCGGTTAGTTAAAAGCGTATCTTTACCTTAAAGGCCGGCAACGCACCTGTAACGCCCCTGAGTCTGCGGGTGTCTATGGGCGATGGTAATCACTTACCATCAGGTGATCCGTCTGCTCGTTTGCCTCCTATCACATAAAAAAAAAAAATAGTTACAATTTATTCTGTAACATATTGTTGGTATCGTTTGAAAGAGCTCGTGAACCACTTCACTGTCAGGATCAGTAAGCTTGTATAGTTTAGAAATAATCGAGTGAGATCACTTATCGTGTTCACCCTGTATGTAGTACTAGCTTTTGCCCGCGGCTTAACCTGCCTGAAATTTAGTTTGTCACAGATTGTCATAAATTATAGTCTATATGTTATTCTGGGTTATAAAGTATAATACTGCAAAGTTTCATCAAAATCCGTTCAGTACTTTTTGCGTGAAGAGTAACAAACATGTTGACATCCAGACATCCATACAAACTTTCGCATTTATTATATTAGTAGGATATCCGTTAAGGTAGCACCCATAAGGCCTCAGCCTCGAACTTAGCGGGCAGCGGGGCGGGAGCGGCGGCGGCGCGGGAGCGGGGCGGGCAACGCAGACCCGTTCTCGAAACAAGCGGGCAGCTCGCGCGGCGCTTTAGCGGCGAAGTGTTGTGTTCGGGGTTGTGTTGTCGAGATATTTGTTTTTATTCGCAAACGAAATGTCTGAACAACGGCGACAATTTTATTTCGATTCAAATTTATTCCTAACGCTCGATTTATTGTGGGCAAAAGAAGGAGTGCGCTGCCCGCTCGTTGCCCGCTCCCTCGCCGCTGCCCGCTCGTTGCCCGCTCCCGCCCCGCTCCCGCGCCGCTGTTTTCGAGAACCGGTCTATTTGATTTTACGCATAAGATCTTGCCGCTCCCGCGCCGCCGCCGCCGCCCCGCTGCCCGCTAAGTTCGAGGCTGAGGCCTAACAAGCATATTAATTGCTTACTTTGGGTCTAGATGGTGCTGTGTGAAATTGTCCAAAGATATTTATTTATTCTATCTTTATCCTCCATAGGCATGACTCCAGAAATGCTAGATGACTTCGCGGCACGTATGATGAAGAAAGTCCACATCGAGGGTATGATGTATGGAAACATCAACCGCGAGAGGGCGCTGAAGGTAGCTGACATGTTGGAGGGCAAGTGAGTAATCAATCAATCAAAATTATCTTTATTTGTAGTACTTTTGTAATATGCGAGTAAAGCATTTGAAGGGTTTTTTTAAGGTGTGATGCTTGGTTTTGCAGGCCACTGTATATTTAGGTTAATAAATAATATCATCCTAATGTGTGATCCTTCTAAGTAAAGTCTGTTGCACATTTTATCACTCTCAATGACTTATCTATATATATAAAAATGAAACCCGTTTCGCGTTGTCACGGCATCACGTGTGAACGGCTGAACCGATTTCGATAATTCTTTTTTTTAAATGTTTGTGGAAGGCCAAGGATGGTTCTTACGGAAAAAAATATTAAGAAAATCTCTACGCTAAGGCGGTACGAAGTTCGCCGGGTCAGCTAGTGTTATAATATAAAGTAAGTAAGCTGTGGTAAATGATGCTGATGTTGAATTTACTGATTTTTTGCAATTCGATTTCTTAAGCAACATTGTATTCAACATTGTTTTTTTACCCTAATAAAGTAAAAAAAAAATGTTTAGATTAATTAAATTAGTACTTGCAAATCGTCAAGTGCTCTTAAGGAGCCTATACATGTCTCATTCTTTTTTTGCCCTACCAGCGCTTCGAGACAAACATTTGGCAAGTGCTGGGAAGAAGTATAACTGTCGATTAAATAATTAAACTTTTTATCCTTAGGGATACATTATATCCTTGGGGATAAATTTTATCCCGGTATAAGTACCTTCTGTTTGGTCTGCCTGTCAACAAGGCGTATGATATTTTCAGGATTTTGTGTAATACTGTAGATGAACTTCACATTTCTTTCTATCCTTGGCGATATTTTTTATCCTGGTATTCTTCTGCTTCTGTCTGTATTTTCAGGATTTTGTTTACTGTGGACTAACTACACTCATCCTTGGGGATATTTTTTATCCTGGTATAAGAACCTTCTCTTTTGTTATGCCAGTCAAATATTTTCAGGATTTTGTGTACTATAAATTAACTACAGTTTTTATCCTTGGGGATGTTTTTATCCTTGTAATTATTTAACTTTCAGGTTACCGAAGGATGCTACACCCTTGCTAGCACAACAACTGTTGCTGCATAGAGAAATTGAACTAGAAAAAGGTGAGATATTTGATTATTTACATACTGTGTCCTGTTTTGTCCTTAGTTCTNTACGTTTTCTTTGCAATAAGTAATTGGAAGAAAGAAAATTCTATAAAAAATTAAAAAAAATCTCAAAAAAATTTTGACCTCTTTTTTGTCGATAAAAATAGGTCTAGTTTCATCTATTTTCATATGTACACTTTAACGTGACTCACACTGTATAATAAGCGCCCTGGAAAGTGCCAACATACTAATAATATTTCCATTTTGTTACAGCACGCGGTGTACCAACAGGCTCTCTGCTTATCAGACGTGGTATGGACCCGCTGTCAACTCATGGAAGCAGCTGAGCGTAAGTTTTAAATTTTAGACACTGTCAGTAACATCAATATAAGCTGGAAAAATTGCATTTTCGGTTAGTTAAAAGCGTATCTTTACCTTAAAGGCCGGCAACGCACCTGTAACGCCCCTGAGTCTGCGGGTGTCTATGGGCGATGGTAATCACTTACCATCAGGTGATCCGTCTGCTCGTTTGCCTCCTATCACATAAAAAAAAAAAATAGTTACAATTTATTCTGTAACATATTGTTGGTATCGTTTGAAAGAGCTCGTGAACCACTTCACTGTCAGGATCAGTAAGCTTGTATAGTTTAGAAATAATCGAGTGAGATCACTTATCGTGTTCACCCTGTATGTAGTACTAGCTTTTGCCCGCGGCTTAACCTGCCTGAAATTTAGTTTGTCACAGATTGTCATAAATTATAGTCTATATGTTATTCTGGGTTATAAAGTATAATACTGCAAAGTTTCATCAAAATCCGTTCAGTACTTTTTGCGTGAAGAGTAACAAACATGTTGACATCCAGACATCCATACAAACTTTCGCATTTATTATATTAGTAGGATATCCGTTAAGGTAGCACCCATAAGGCCTCAGCCTCGAACTTAGCGGGCAGCGGGGCGGGAGCGGCGGCGGCGCGGGAGCGGGGCGGGCAACGCAGACCCGTTCTCGAAACAAGCGGGCAGCTCGCGCGGCGCTTTAGCGGCGAAGTGTTGTGTTCGGGGTTGTGTTGTCGAGATATTTGTTTTTATTCGCAAACGAAATGTCTGAACAACGGCGACAATTTTATTTCGATTCAAATTTATTCCTAACGCTCGATTTATTGTGGGCAAAAGAAGGAGTGCGCTGCCCGCTCGTTGCCCGCTCCCTCGCCGCTGCCCGCTCGTTGCCCGCTCCCGCCCCGCTCCCGCGCCGCTGTTTTCGAGAACCGGTCTATTTGATTTTACGCATAAGATCTTGCCGCTCCCGCGCCGCCGCCGCCGCCCCGCTGCCCGCTAAGTTCGAGGCTGAGGCCTAACAAGCATATTAATTGCTTACTTTGGGTCTAGATGGTGCTGTGTGAAATTGTCCAAAGATATTTATTTATTCTATCTTTATCCTCCATAGGCATGACTCCAGAAATGCTAGATGACTTCGCGGCACGTATGATGAAGAAAGTCCACATCGAGGGTATGATGTATGGAAACATCAACCGCGAGAGGGCGCTGAAGGTAGCTGACATGTTGGAGGGCAAGTGAGTAATCAATCAATCAAAATTATCTTTATTTGTAGTACTTTTGTAATATGCGAGTAAAGCATTTGAAGGGTTTTTTTAAGGTGTGATGCTTGGTTTTGCAGGCCACTGTATATTTAGGTTAATAAATAATATCATCCTAATGTGTGATCCTTCTAAGTAAAGTCTGTTGCACATTTTATCACTCTCAATGACTTATCTATATATATAAAAATGAAACCCGTTTCGCGTTGTCACGGCATCACGTGTGAACGGCTGAACCGATTTCGATAATTCTTTTTTTTAAATGTTTGTGGAAGGCCAAGGATGGTTCTTACGGAAAAAAATATTAAGAAAATCTCTACGCTAAGGCGGTACGAAGTTCGCCGGGTCAGCTAGTGTTATAATATAAAGTAAGTAAGCTGTGGTAAATGATGCTGATGTTGAATTTACTGATTTTTTGCAATTCGATTTCTTAAGCAACATTGTATTCAACATTGTTTTTTTACCCTAATAAAGTAAAAAAAAAATGTTTAGATTAATTAAATTAGTACTTGCAAATCGTCAAGTGCTCTTAAGGAGCCTATACATGTCTCATTCTTTTTTTGCCCTACCAGCGCTTCGAGACAAACATTTGGCAAGTGCTGGGAAGAAGTATAACTGTCGATTAAATAATTAAACTTTTTATCCTTAGGGATACATTATATCCTTGGGGATAAATTTTATCCCGGTATAAGTACCTTCTGTTTGGTCTGCCTGTCAACAAGGCGTATGATATTTTCAGGATTTTGTGTAATACTGTAGATGAACTTCACATTTCTTTCTATCCTTGGCGATATTTTTTATCCTGGTATTCTTCTGCTTCTGTCTGTATTTTCAGGATTTTGTTTACTGTGGACTAACTACACTCATCCTTGGGGATATTTTTTATCCTGGTATAAGAACCTTCTCTTTTGTTATGCCAGTCAAATATTTTCAGGATTTTGTGTACTATAAATTAACTACAGTTTTTATCCTTGGGGATGTTTTTATCCTTGTAATTATTTAACTTTCAGGTTACCGAAGGATGCTACACCCTTGCTAGCACAACAACTGTTGCTGCATAGAGAAATTGAACTAGAAAAAGGTGAGATATTTGATTATTTACATACTGTGTCCTGTTTTGTCCTTAGTTCTCTATCCTTGCGAAAAATCAATTTATTGGTGTATTACAATCGATTATTGAAGTTATTGTAAGCTAAAACTTCTTGCTTCATTTTGGAAATAATGATTTCTGTCAACTAACCAAACTACTGCAACAGCGCTAGATCGCTTATAAAGAATGTCTAAGTCGCACTAAAGTAAGGTGTACGGATGCAGTATGGTTTAGTTCAACATATCGAGTGTTATTTAATGCCAAAATCGCAAAATCTTATGCGTAGTACGTATACATCGATGATATTTGGTATGTAAATTATTCAAAACAAAACTCTTTTTTTCTCTTAACTCCAGGGATAGATTTCAGTGCGCTTCGGTTTACACATTAGTATTGGTCTGAGAAACAAAATGCACTATGGTTTCATTCTGGGCAGCACTTGGTCCAACTTCCATACATGGATTGGCACTGTCCTTTGACACGAATTTGAGCTTAAGATGTTTCCTGGGTAAAAAAGCAAGAGAATTATGACCGTTTTCACCATCAATCCCTAATTTTTAAGTGACCCCTATGAAAACAAAATCCTTGTCATGCAATGTCACTTCAAATTAGGGATTGATGGCGAAAACGGGCATAGTCCGTCAGTTAACTTATCAAAAATACTCGACACGTATTTTTCACTTTTTCCAAATAATGAAAATTTAAAGGGTTCAAAAGAAGAGGCCCGTGACGTCAATTAGTGTTCAAAAGTGCAACACTTTGTGACGTCGCGCGGACGCACCACATCTTTGAAATTATTTGTTTCATTGAAAAGTCACTGATTGACTGACGCACTCATCACCAAATCTCAGAAACTACAACTAGGAGTTTCAAATTTTGCATGGGGAAGTTCCTTTTAGAATGTAGGTGCTCATTAAGACGGGATTTTGCAAAATTCAACCTTTAAGGCCCGGTTTTTTGATTCGTAGTTAAAATAACCAATGGTCAAATTTGACAATGTCAAATGACAAGTGGTTAAGAATCAGAAAAAAATGTTTTTCGAACAATGGTTAGCTTGACTTTTAGTAAATTTTTTAACTATTAGCTAACGTTTTGTTAATATTTAACCATTAGTAGCAAAATTTAACAATTTGTTATTTTAACTATGAATCAAAAAACTGGGCCTAAGTGGGTAAAAAAGGGATCCACGCGTATGAAGTCGCGGCCGGCCGCTAGTTAAAAATATACGTGTCCAATATTTCTTGAGATTAGAGCGCTTTCACATTAGGGCGTTTGAAGCGCGACAGCAGCGCAGCAGCGGCGTTTTTATAATGTGAAGGCATATATCCGCTGTCACATAGTATGAATTTTCGGCAGCGCGTTTGTCGCGCTGCTAAAGCTACCTAAATGTGAAAGTGCTGTCAAACATAACGCATTTTTTACGAAACTAGCCTATCGCTAAATCTAGGTAAAAAATCACAGGTGTATGGTACATGCGCGAGACTTCGAACAGCGTGCACAAGTCGTCGTGCGCGTCGCTGTACTACTCGTGCGGCGTGCGCGCGACGCGCCCCAACGCCGCGCTGGAGTTGCTCGCGCAGACCTTATCCGAACCGGCCTTCAGCGTGCTCAGGACCAAGGTGAGACCATCAGATCATCATCAGGTCCGAAGACAGAAGACAGAGGCCATTTAGTCTACTGTGAGAGCTGCTGATGGTTCCTAGAGAGACTAAGGAACTTTAATAGAGGCATATGCTATGAGAAGCTACCAAGGAAGCCAGAGGGGTGGACGGTCTGATCCAGAGGGGGGAAATCAGATGTGTGTAGAGAATAGTTTTCAAGGGGGAGCTCCGCTCCCTTGACCCAGCAAGCAGACTGGTAGTTTGGCTAGTATCAGATTTGTACTAGGTAGGGGCCGCTTTTAGACACTTAGAGCTTCAAGAGAGAGCAGCTGCGTTCTTCTGATGAGCAGAGGTCAGTGAAAATGTGTCTTTTTAGGTCCCCGCTCTTAGACACGTAAAAATATGTAATATTAGGCAGGTTTCTAAGTACCATTTCCAGGGTGCAGCAGCTCTCCCCAGGTACGACCCGCTATTTGACACTTAAGAAAGAGTTTCTAGATGCGTGAGCTTTCCTATGCTCCCCTTCCCCCCCATGTCTAGAAGGCTAGGCGTGTAGTACATAGCAGTTTGGAAAGGGGGGGATAATCACACTTTTTAAGCAGGGTCCCCCGCTTTTAGACACTTAAGGAAGGGTTTCCAGGTGATCAGCTGATCTCCCTTCCTCATGTCTAGAAGGCATGCCCGTGGTACATGGTCCTCAAACAGCGTGCACAAGTCTTCGTGCGCGTCGCTGTACTACTCGTGCGGCGTGCGCGCGACGCGCCCCAACGCCGCGCTGGAGTTGCTCGCGCAGACCTTATCCGAACCGGCCTTCAGCGTGCTGAGGACCAAGGTGAGACAGCAACATCATCAGGGATTGATTGACAAAGGACGACTGGAAGATCCCAAGGAGAAAGCCCAATCTAAGCTAGGTGTAGACAGACATCTTGGGATGGTTCCACTGATCAGAAACTGATCGCGCTGTCGCTGGCCGAGCCTTGCCTTGTGATTGGAGTGATAGAGAGAGAGAGACAAAAGCACCGTCTTCATCACTCATGGCTACATATCCATGAGCCATGAGATTGCCACATGGCAGGAGAAAGGGTGTACCCAGCTTCTAGGGCAATCATCAATCTAGCCCAGGGAAGTGGTAAATTAGATGGTCCAAGGGGGTAGTCTAGACCAGGGAGAGAGGCAAATCAGATAGTCCAGAGGGGGGGAGAAAGTCAGACGGTACAGGGGGGTAGTCTAAGTCAAAGTCAAAATTTCTTTATTTGTTTAGACTAATAAATAGTTCTTACAAATCGTCATTTTGCTCTTAAGGAGCCTCTACATGTCTCATAATCTTTTTACCCTACCAGCGCTTCGAGACCAACATTTGTCAGTCTGACCCAGGATAGGGGGCAAATCAGTTGGTTTAGGGGGGGCAGCCAGAGAAAGGGGGATAATCCGTTTTTAGGCAGGGTCTCCCGCTTTTAGACACTTATGGAAGAATTTCCAGATGGGGCAGCTGCCTTACTCATCCTCCCATCTCATAATATCTGGAAGGCTAGGCGTATAGTACATAGACCTCAAACAGCGTGCACAAGTCGTCGTGCGCGTCGCTGTACTACTCGTGCGGCGTGCGCGCGACGCGCCCCAACGCCGCGCTGGAGTTGCTCGCGCAGACCTTGTCTGAACCAGCCTTCAGCGTGCTGAGGACCAAGGTGAGACAGCAGCAGCATCAGAACCTCAAGCGATTCCTCATGACCTGGAAATGACACAGAAAAAGAGAAAAAACCTCTGTCCTCATGGCCATATGGCAATACGCGGCGGAGTAACTGTGTGCAGTGGAGGAAAGGGGAGTCTGTACCAGGGACAGGAGAGTCTAGACCAAAGGAAGGGGGAATCTGGCTCATGGGGGGACAGTCTAGCCTGGGAGGACAGTCAAGCCTCGAGGGGACAGTCTGACCCTTGGTAGGACTCGCTCTTTATAGACACTTTATAGTTTCCAGGAGGGGTAACTCCTCTGATGAGCCCCCCCTCAGGGACTTAGTCTAATCAGAAGGGGGGAGAAATCTGACCAGAAGGGGGGAAAACAGTTTGGCCCAGGGGGTTGGGGGGCGAATCAGATTCGTAATAGGTAGAACCCGCGCTCGCGTTTAGACACTTGGAAGAAAGATTTCCAGGGTGCAGCAGCCCTCCCGAGGTATAACCCGCTTTTAGACACTTAAGAAGAGCTTCCAGGGAGAGCACCTGCGTTCTTCTGATGAGCAGAGGTCAGTGAAAATGTGTCTTTTTAGGTCCCCGCTCTTAGACACGTAAAAATGTGTAATATTAGGCAGGTTTCTAAGTACCATTTCCAGGGTGCAGCAGCTCTCCCCAGGTACGACCCGCTATTTGACACTTAAGAAAGAGTTTCTAGATGCGTGAGCTTTCCTATGCTCCCCTTCCTCCCCATGTCTAGAAGGCTAGGCGTGTAGTACATAGCAGTTTGGAAAGGGGGGATAATCACACTTTTTAAGCAGGGTCCCCCGCTTTTAGACACTTAAGGAAGGGTTTCCAGGTGATCAGCTGATCTCCCCCACTCATGTCCAGAAGGCATGCCCGTGGTACATGGCCCTCAAACAGCGTGCACAAGTCGTCGTGCGCGTCGCTGTACTACTCGTGCGGCGTGCGCGCGACGCGCCCCAACGCCGCGCTGGAGTTGCTCGCGCAGACCTTATCCGAACCGGCCTTCAGCGTGCTGAGGACCAAGGTGAGGCCATCAGATCATCATCAGGTCCGAAGACAGAAGACAGAGGCCATTTAGTCTACTGTGAGAGCTGCTGATGGTTCCTAGAGAGACTAAGGAACTTAAATAGAGGCAGATGCTATGAGAAGCTACCAAGGAAGCCACCCGGAACACCATCCATCATCATCATCAATCTAGAGGGGACGATCTGACCCAGAGAGGGGGGCAAATCAGATGTGCATAGAATAGTTTTCAAGGGGAGCTCCGCTCCCTTGACCCAGCAAGCAGACTGGTAGTTTGGCTAGTATCAGATTTGTACTAGGTAGAGGTCGCTTTTAGACACTTAGAGCTTCAAGAGAGAGCAGCTGCGTTCTTCTGATGAGCAGAGGTCAGTGAAAATGTCTTTTTAGGTCCCCGCTCTTAGACACGTAAAAATTTGTAGTATTAGGCAGGTTTTTAAGTACCATTTCCAGGGTGCAGCAGCTCTCCCCAGGTACGACCCGCTATTTGACACTTAAGAAAGAGTTTCTAGATGCGTGAGCTTTCCTATGCTCCCCTTCCCCCCATGTCTAGAAGGCTAGGCGTGTAGTACATAGCAGTTTGGAAAGGGGGGGATAATCACACTTTTTAAGCAGGGTCCCCCGCTTTTAGACACTTAAGGAAGGGTTTCCAGGTGATCAGCTGATCTCCCTTCCTCATGTCCAGAAGGCATGCCCGTGGTACATGGTCCTCAAACAGCGTGCACAAGTCGTCGTGCGCGTCGCTGTACTACTCGTGCGGCGTGCGCGCGACGCGCCCCAACGCCGCGCTGGAGTTGCTCGCGCAGACCTTATCCGAACCGGCCTTCAGCGTGCTGAGGACCAAAGTGAGACCATCAGATAATCATCAGGGATTGATACCTACAAAGAACTACTGAAAGTCCCAAAAAGGCAGCCCAATCTGGCTTGGTGACTCACTGATGGCTTTAAGATAGACTCAGGAACTAAAATAGACGCAGACCAAGGTAAGAGCATCATCAAGGGGTCATTTAGAGTGCAATGCAGGAGTACGACCCTCTCTTAGTTACCACAGGCAAACGCAGAATGTGGTCTTCAGCCTCCAGCCAGCATGGGGATAGGGGGCTTTTAGAGCCTTCCTTGAGCCAGCAAAGTGAGAATAGCATCATCATCAGTGTCCGAAGAGATGCCTCTTGCGCTAGGAGTGACAGAGACTGAGAGAAAAGCACCGTCTTTATCACTCATGTCTATGTGGCAATAGATATCCAGGAGAAAGGGTGAACCCAGCTTCTGAGGCAACCAGGGGGGGGGGCAATCTAGCCCAGGGAGGGCATCAAATGAGATAACCCATAGGGTGTCTAAAAAAGGGGGGGATAATCACACTTTTCAGGCAGGGTGACCCCATTTAGACACTTCAAGACAAGTTTCCTTGGGAGCTGCATTCTTTCAGTTTTTTAGGTCCTCTGCGCTTAGAAACTTAAAAGCGACACATAAGGCAAGTTTCCAGGGACCGGGCAGCTGCCTTCCTCTTCCCCCTCATGTCCAGAAGGCATGCCCGTGGTACATGGTCCTCAAACAGCGTGCACAAGTCTTCGTGCGCGTCGCTGTACTACTCGTGCGGCGTGCGCGCGACGCGCCCCAACGCCGCGCTGGAGTTGCTCGCGCAGACCTTATCCGAACCGGCCTTCAGCGTGCTGAGGACCAAGGTGAGACAGCAGCAGCATCAGGACCTCAAGCGATTTCTCATGACCTGGAACTGACAGAGACAGAGAGAGAAAAGTTTTGTCCTCATAGCCATAATATGGCAATACGCGGCGGAGTAACTGTGTGCAGTGGAGGAAAGGGGAGTCTGGACCAGGGACGGGAGAGTCTAGACCAAAGGAAGGGGGAATCTGGCTCATGGGGGGACAGTCTATCCTGGAGGAGGACAGTCTGACCCTTGATAGAACCCGCGCTTTATAGACATTTTAGTTTTCCAGGAGGAGTAGCTCCTCTGTTTCCCCCCCCCCCCCCCCCTGTCAGGGGCTCAGTCTGAACAAAAGGAGAGAGTAATTTGGCCTAGGGGGGGTGAATCAGATTGGTAATAGGTAGAACCCGCGCTCGCGTTTAGACACTTGAAGAAGGGTTTCCAGGGTGCAGCAGCCATCCCCAGGTGTAACCCGCTTTTAGACACTTAAGAAAGAGTTTCTAGATGCGTGAGCTTTCCTATGCTCCCCTTCCCCCCCATGTCTAGAAGGCTAGGCGTGTAGTACATAGCAGTTTGGAAAGGGGGGGAAAATAACACTTTTTAAGCAGGGTCCCCCGCTTTTAGACACTTAAGAATGAGTTTCCAGATGGGGCAGCTGCCTTACTCATCCTCCCATCTCATATCTGGAAGGCTAGGCGTATAGTACATAGACCTCCAACAGCGTGCACAAGTCGTCGTGCGCGTCGCTGTACTACTCGTGCGGCGTGCGCGCGACGCGCCCCAACGCCGCGCTGGAGTTGCTCGCGCAGACCTTATCCGAACCGGCCTTCAGCGTGCTGAGGACCAAGGTGAGGCCATCAGATCATCATCAGGTCCGAAGACAGAAGACAGAGGCCATTTAGTCTACTGTGAGAGCTGCTGATGGTTCCTAGAGAGACTAAGGAACTTAAATAGAGGCAGATGCTATGAGAAGCTACCAAGGAAGCCACCCAGAACACCATCCATCATCATCATCAACCCAGAGGGGTGGACGGTCTGATCCAGAGGGGGGAAATCAGATGTGTGTAGAGAATAGTTTTCAAGGGGGAGCTCCGCTCCCTTGACCCAGCAAGCAGACTGGTAGTTTGGCTAGTATCAGATTTGTACTAGGTAGAGGCCGCTTTTAGACACTTAGAGCTTCAAGAGAGAGCAGCTGCGTTCTTCTGATGAGCAGAGGTCAGTGAAAATGTGTCTTTTTAGGTCCCCGCTCTTAGACACGTAAAAATGTGTAATATTAGGCAGGTTTCTAAGTACCATTTCCAGGGTGCAGCAGCTCTCCCCAGGTACGACCCGCTATTTGACACTTAAGAAAGAGTTTCTAGATGCGTGAGCTTTCCTATGCTCCCCTTCCCCCCCATGTCTAGAAGGCTAGGCGTGTAGTACATAGCAGTTTGGAAAGGGGGGGATAATCACACTTTTTAAGCAGGGTCCCCCGCTTTTAGACACTTAAGGAAGGGTTTCCAGGTGATCAGCTGATCTCCCTTCCTCATATCCTAAAGGTAGGCCCGTGGAACATGGACTTCAAACAGCGTGCACAAGTCGTCGTGCGCGTCGCTGTACTACTCGTGCGGCGTGCGCGCGACGCGCCCCAACGCCGCGCTGGAGTTGCTCGCGCAGACCTTATCCGAACCGGCCTTCAGCGTGCTGAGGACCAAGGTGAGACTGACACCATATTCAGCAGGGATTGATTGACAAAGGACAACTGAAAGTCCCAAAAAGGCAGCCCAATCTGGCTTGGTGACTCACTGATGGCTTTAAGATAGACTCAGGAACCAAAATAGACGCAGACCAAGGTATTGGTGATTTTTTGATTGGGATAGGGGGCTTTTAGAGCCTTCCTTGAGCCACCAAAGTGAGAATAGCATCATCATCAGTGTCTGAAGCGATGTCTCTTGCGCTAGGAGTGACAGAGACAGAGAGAAAGAAAACATTTGTCCTCATGACCATGTGTCAATACCCGCCAATACGTGATGGAGCAACGGTGTACAGTGGCGGGGAGAAAGAGTATGACTCATTTGTTGGTCAGTCTTGCTTAGCAGGGAGCAGTCTAGCGGAGAAGGAGGGGAGTTTGGCCATTGGAGGGGAGATGACACCAGGAGGAGGGATCAGTCTGGCCAGTGAGAGGAAGACGCAGTTAGACACTTAAGAATAATTCCAGGGGGCACCTTCCCTCCCCAAATGGGGTATGGACTACCCCTGGGGAGGGAAGACTACCTACTGGGGGCTGTCTAGAAATGGGGGAGATAGTTAGATTTTTAGACAGGATCCCCCGTATTTTAGACAGGATCCCCCGTATTTAGACACTTAAGGAAGAGTTTCTACCTAAGAGGCAACTGCCTCTCCTCATATCCTTAAGGTAGGCCCGTGGTACATAGACTTCAAACAGCGTGCACAAGTCGTCGTGCGCGTCGCTGTACTACTCGTGCGGCGTGCGCGCGACGCGCCCCAACGCCGCGCTGGAGTTGCTCGCGCAGACCTTATCCGAACCGGCCTTCAGCGTGCTGAGGACCAAGGTGAGGCCATCAGATCATCATCAGGTCTGAAGACAGAAGACAGAGGTCATTTAGTCTACTGTGAGAGCTGCTGATGGTTCCTAGAGAGACTAAGGAACTTAAATAGAGGCAGATGCTATGAGAAGCTACCAAGGAAGCCACCCGGAACACCATCCATCATCATCATCAAGATCAACCTAGAGGGGTGGACGGTCTGATCCAGAGGGAGGAAATCAGATGTGTGTAGAGAATAGTTTTCAAGGGGGAGCTCCGCTCCCTTGACCCAGCAAGCAGACTGGTAGTTTGGCTAGTATCAGATTTGTACTAGGTAGAGGCCGCTTTTAGACACTTAGAGCTTCAAGAGAGAGCAGCTGCGTTCTTCTGATGAGCAGAGGTCAGTGAAAATGTGTCTTTTTAGGTCCCCGCTTTTAGACACGTAAAAATGTGTAATATTAGGCAGGTTTCTAAGTACCATTTCCAGGGTTCAGCAGCTCTCCCCAGGTACGACCCGCTATTTGACACTTAAGAAAGAGTTTCTAGATGCGTGAGCTTTCCTATGCTCCCCTTCCCCCCCCCCCCCATGTCTAGAAGGCTAGGCGTGTAGTATATAGCAGTTTGGAAAGGGGGGGATAATCACACTTTTAGGCAGGGTCTCCCGCTTTTAGACACTTAAGGAAGGGTTTCCAGGTGATCAGCTGATCTCCCTTCCTCATGTCTAGAAGGCATGCCCGTGGTACATGGTCCTCAAACAGCGTGCACAAGTCGTCGTGCGCGTCGCTGTACTACTCGTGCGGCGTGCGCGCGACGCGCCCCAACGCCGCGCTGGAGTTGCTCGCGCAGACCTTATCCGAACCGGCCTTCAGCGTGCTGAGGACCAAGGTGAGACAGCAGCATCGTCAGGGTCCGAAGAGATGTCTCTTGCGCTAGGAGTGACAGAGACAGAGAGAGAGAGTGAAACTGTCCACGTAACCACGAGCAACAATATCTAGAAGCATGGGCGTAACCTACTTATGGAGCAAAGGGCGCCTGTCTGACCAAGGGGGGACAGTCTGAACCTTGGGAGGACCTGCGGTTTATAGACACTTAAGGTAAAGTATCCAGGAGGAGCATCTGCCTTCCCCTGCCCCCCCTCAGGGGATCAGTCTGACCAGACTACTCCCGTCTGGTCCAGAGGAGGTGAATCAGATTGGTAATAGGTAGAACCCGCGCTCGCTCGCTCGTTTAGACACTTGAAGAAGGGTTTCCAGGGTGTAGCAGCCATCCCCAGGTGTAACCCGCTTTTAGACTATTAAGAAAGAGTTTCTAGATGCGTGAGCTACCCTCCACTCCCCTCCTCATGTCCAGAAGGCATATCAACTTTGCATAGTTTGGACTAGATGGTGCAATGTAAAATGTCCAAGGATATTTATAACTTTTATTATTTATTAATACTAAACTACCCTCATTTTTCTCCAGGAGCAACTCGGCTACATCGTGTTCAGCGGCGTACGTCGCTCCAACGGCGTGCAAGGACTAAGGGTGATCGTGCAGAGCGACCGCCACCCTGCCTTCGTGGAGGAGAGGATCGAAGCCTTCCTGCAGGGCTCACTGGTAACGGGACTATTCCCACCTCTCGTTCCCACCGCTGCAACTCCTGTGCAGCCAGGATCTACAGCTTGACCGCCAAAAACCCAACCAATAAAGGTCAAGTTTGTCCCGGGGGAAAGTTAAACTGTCATTGGACCCGCAACGAAATTAATCTGAAGAACATAGGAGGAGTTCGAAGTTAAAGTTCGACTTCCCTCCATTGCTAGGCTCACTGGTAAGTGAGCTGCGGTGACGTATAGAGCTGTAGAGTGACCGTCACCCCGCCTTCGTGGAGGAGAGGATCGAAGCCTTTCTGCAGGGCTCACTGGTAAGCTATGGCACGTACGGTGAGCTACGGTGACGTATAGTGAGCTACCGTGACGTATAGTGAGCTACGGTGAAGTACAGAGAGCTGTAGAGTGACGTCATTTGTGGAATAGGGGATCGATGCCTTCCTGCAGGGCTCACTGGTAAGCTATGTCACGTACGGTGAGCTACGGTGACGTATAGTGAGCTACCGTGACGTATAGTGAGCTACAGTGACGTGCAGAGAACTGTAGAGTGACCTCATTTGTGGAATAGGGGATCGATGCCTTCCTGCAGGGCTCACTGGTAAGCTATGTCACGTCACCGTACGTGACATAGCTTACCAGTGAGCCCTGCAGGAAGGAGCTGCGATGACGTATAGTGAGCTACCGTGACGTATAGTGAGCTACGGTGAAGTACAGAGAACTGTAGAGTGACGTCATTTGTGGAAGAGAGGATCGAGGCCTTTCTGCAGGGCTCACTGGTAAGTAAGCTACGGCGTATAGTGAGTTACGAGTGACGTATAGTGAGGTGCGGTGACGCATAGTGTGATACGGTAACGTATAGTGAGCTACGGTAACACATGGTGAGCTACGGTGACGTATAGTGAGCTACGGGTGATGTATTGTGAGCTACGGTGACATATAGTGAGCTGCGGTGACGTATGGTCAGCCACGGTAACGTATGATGAGTTATTGTAATGTATAGAGAGCTGCAGAGCGACCGCCACCCCGCCTTCGTGGAGGAGAGGATCGAAGCCTTCCTGCAGGGCTCACTGGTGAGAAACAATCATGTTAAGGGAGCTACATAGGGATGTTATGGATATGTAGTTTCGGTTATGGATACGGTTACGGATATAGGAATAATATTAGACCGGCTTCGGTTACGGTTACGGATATCCATAACATCCCTGGAGCTACAATAATATACAGTGAGCTGAAATCTCACTGTAGCTATTATGAGCTGACGTATAAGCTACAATGAGCTACGATGTTTTTAATTACATTTCTATCTAGCTACAGTAATTCATTCACCTTAAAGGCCGGCAACGCACCTGTAACGCCCTTGGGTCTGCGGGTGTCTATGGGCGACGGTAATCACTTACAATCAGGTGATCCGTCTGCTCGTTTGCCTCCTGTCACATAAAAAAAATCATATAGTTAAATAAATTTTACAGAAGGCCTTAAAATGTGTTATTATTACGACAATCTATACTAATATTATAAATGCGAAAGTAAGTCAGTAGGCTATCCGACATGATAAGCGAGCGATCTGCGGAGCTTGAGAGGTGCCGCAGTGTAAACGTATTGCATATTGCGAGCCACAGTACAGTGATATTGTCGCACGGAAAATATTCGCAAAAAATTCCACTTTCGTTTGTAATGTATTTTTTGGTGGATAATACGTTTATATAAGTCATAATAGATCACCTAAATAAATAAGGCGAGGATTGAAATCAACATTCTGTATATGGAGAAATTAATAGATTTTTTGAAAAGTAAACGTCCGTATCATTAGTCCATTTAAAATTGATTCACCTAAGCACCAAAACCTTCCCAAATTGTTTTTACATACTTTATGTTTCACAGGAATACTTAGAAAAGATGACGGATGAGGAATTCCTAAAGCACAGGGCCGCGCTCGCGGCGCACAAGTTAGAGAAGCCTAAGCGCATGTCTACCCGCGCTTCGCAGCTATGGAGCGAGATTACGGCACAGGTCAGTTAATATAGATCGTTTCATCCACTCGGACGCGCCCCACCATTCTTCCTAATGTTTGAGTGTTATCGGTACACGCTAAGTGATCCATGAGTGCACACGCACACTACAGTAATGCCTTACGGCTTGCTCGGACCACACTCCCCGCACCCCGCGCGACCGGGACCAAACACGGCCGAGTGGATGAAACGAATGATCTATATCAGTTGTACACAGGTCAGTTTATATTGTTTATCAGTTCTGCACAAAGCAGATTACAAAAAGTCTACATTAAAACAATAAATTATAATTATAGATAATAATAATGCATTTTATTCCTCAGGTGTACAACTTTGACAGGCCGCGAGTGGAAGTGGAGCAGTTGAATACGATCACAAAAGAAGAGCTGATACAGTTCTATAAGGTAAGAAGAAGAAGAAAGACATTTCATTGTTATCATCAACAGATTAGTTGGTTCATGGCATCTGGCTGGAGTATGATATAGATTATAGTTGGTTCTCCTACTTATACGAGCTGCATAAATGTAGATATTATTTGTTGTCGACACGGCACAGAAATGTATTATTGTTGCTTGTGTCTTTTACTGACGAATCAGTTTCTAGTTATCTACACCGAACAATTTAATCGGAAACAAGTATGTTTCAAGTGGAAGCGATTGGACACAAAAAAGTGTTTAAAACTGGCTGATTTGGTATTGATTATTTATACATATAAAAATTAGATATCCACTGGCGGCTTTCTCTGGATTATTCCCACCGCTGCGACTCCTGTGTAACCAGGATCTACAGCTCGTTTTCCCGGGGAAAGTTAAACTGTCATTGGACCCGCAACGTAATTAATCAGACTGGTGGCTTGCATGTAATACAAGACAAGTGTCTAGGTTTGGTAGCCTTATACTGTTTAAAAATATTTAAACGAAGCTATTACCCTTTGCCAACACTGCAACTACAATGAAGTCCAATCAGTGAAGGTTGAGTAGTCCCGAGGTATATCTAAATGTCTTGGAAACCGCAACAAATTTTATTCAAACAGAAGAATATTATAACTATTAGCGTCAGGGTATAATTTATTTATTTATTTATTTTATTGTTAGGAAAACAAACAACATATTATAACACATATAGAGTTACCAATTAAACTTCACATTTGCCAAAAGAGTTTTCACAAATAGTTCTTACATACTTCAATGTCGAATATAATTCCAGAAACACATCAGCGAAAACTCGGCCGACCGCCAGAAGTTGTCAGTGCACGTGGTATCAACAGCGGAAGGCGGCGCCGGCCGCGACGGAGCCAACGACAAGGAAGAGAAGAAGACTGGGAAGGAGGTCAGTGGTCTATGGTTGTGGCGTGTAGCGACATCTACGATACGCCACTACAAACTAGTGCACCAACAGATGGCGCTGTTACGACTTCACTATGGCATACACCACCGCGCGTACAATCCTGCATCGCGGTGGTTTTTTACCCTGCCCAGCATATACCGTCAGTTGCAGGTTCACTTGGGGTAACTGACAAAATACAGTTTTTCAGTAGAGCCGTTTAAAGTTTTTTTTCGTCTTAAATCGGACATAACTTTTTTCCTATTTAACCTTTTTTGGATCTGTTTTTACAGAAATGCTTAGAATTCTACGCGGTTTTAGATTAAATAAAAAGAATTATCTAATATGTCTTAGTTAAGGAAATAAATTGCAGTTACACCAATGTATTTTTGTACTTTTGACACTTACACTAATTTTACACCAAACTTTTGGAAAAAGTATAGGTCAAATTGGTGTAAGTATGCCCAAAGTTACAATAATTTGATGTATTTGCTGGGTTTTGTTTACTTAATTGCTGTATAATTTATGTAAAAGTATTAAAAAATAAGAGAATTCATGAAAAAAATAACATTTTGAGAGTTACTTTTATTTTATTCATTACAAATGTTAAAAAAGCCACGAAACTCAAGAAAATATGTGTAATTATTTTTTTTAAGACAGAAATATTGAAATAACTAAAGCATTACTGTGAAACTAAGTAATTTGAGTTTTTTTTTAAGCTTTGACTTACCAATACCGTATTTAGCTCTACGGGGCAACTTAAACTGAAAACAAAATGGATTTAATTTCCCACCTCTTTATAGCAATGTTGAATTAAGGTCATGAGTACTACAACAGTAAAAGTAACAGAGTAACAATAGGTTAATGTTAGCAACGCGCAGTGACGCCTAGTTGGCTGGATAGTTTGCTCAATTTCAATAAAAAAAATTGTTGAGCTAACTTTAACTTCTTTAACTGATACTGCTGGTATAATAATAATGTAATATGCCTTAAAACTTTCTAAATTCCTATTTTATTTCATGTTATAAACCTTAGCAAATCAGTGTAATTGCAAAGTTTTGTAGCAAAATTTTTACATTAATACAGATACACCAATTCAACCTGGTAAAATTATTACAATGTCAGTTACACCAAAATTGTGAAGGAAATCTGAAAAGTTCACACCTGAAAATGTCCGTGTAATTGTATTTTTTTTAAAGCTAGAATTTTTTTACATATACCATTCGAAAGAGCAGAAAAAACTAAGAAAAACTGTATATTTAACTCAAAAACCGTATTTTGTCAGTTACCCCAAGTGAACCTGCAACTGACGATACAGGGTGGAATTTTGTAATGCCACCTGGAGGGAAAGTACTCTTAATACTGTAGATAGAAAATTTTACTCAAAGGAAACATTCCTTTTTTTTTTTTTTAAAAAAAATAGTACTGCATTCAAAGATTTTCAAAAATTTGCTTTCCATATCCAAGAATCGAACCAACTAAAATCTGTTAAAAATTACACCCTGTATTTTTATTGCATCGATCGTTAGAGTGAGGTATAAGGATGAAATCTCTCTAACAAACTCGATTAATCAAGTGAAAGGAAAACCATGAAATCTTACATTATTTTAACTATTTACAGTAAATTGTATGGCATGGTAGAGAATTTTCGAAAAAATTTCGGAAATCTTTAAATGCGGTTCTATTTCTTTTCAAAAATAAAGGAATGTTTTCTTTGAGTAGAATTTTCTATCTACATTATTAAGAGTGCTTTTCCTCCAGGTGGCATTACAAAATTCCACCCTGTGTAGGAAAACCAAGATAAGTAAATTGGACCTTGGTCATCGAGCACAACACCCGCTCGGATGGAAGAACTAACACCTTAGCTTTCCTTATTGTGGTCGATCCATCGAATCCAACAGGCGTATCTAGGGCGTGTCATGGTTTAACCTAGCTTTAAGGTCAAAGGTGGTAGTCTAGCAAAATATGGGCCTATTCCCACCGCTGCAACTCCTGTGCAGCCAGGATCTACAGCTTGACCGTCAATAAAAACCCAACCAGAGAAGGCCTGTTAGGTAGGAGCCAACGACAAAGAAGAAGACTGGGAAGAAGGTCAGTAGTCTATGGTTGTGGGCGTGTCCAGCTTTAATATAGTCACAGGGGGGGTATTCTGGTAACATACGGGACTATTCCCACCTCTCGTTCCCACCGCTACAACTGCTGCGTAGCCAGGATCTACAGCTTGACCGCCAATAAAACCAGTGAAGGCGTACAGGTCTAGCACTTACGACAAGGAAGAGAAGAAGGCTGGGAAGCAGGTCAGTGGTCTATGGTCGTTACTGACGGCCGATGGGGCAGCTAGGTTCTGGAGTGGAGGCCGCGTACCGAAAAATGCAGCGTGGGACGTCCACCCACAAGGTGGACCGACGACATCGTAAAGGTAGCAGGAAGGCGCTGGGCGCAGGCCGCTACCAATCGAGCAACATGGAAAGCATTAGGGGAGGCCTATGTTCTGCAGTGGACGTCCTATGGCTGAGGTGAACAACCCAACCGGAGAAGGCCTGTAAGGAGAAGGTAGGAGCCAACGACAAAGAAGAGAAGGAGGCTGGGAAAGGAGGTCAGTAGTCTATGGTTTTGGGCGTGTCCAGCTTTTGGGCCAGGGGGGGTAGTTTGGCAATATACGGGACTATTCCCACCTCTCGTGTCCACCGCTGCAACTCCTGTGTAGCCAGGATCTACAGCTTGTCCGTTTAAAGGCTAAGTTCAATCAGTTAAGTTACTATAGTGATGTAAGTTTCCCAATTTATAACGTTTAAGGTCTTTTTTAGTCTGGCAATATGTAGAGGCTTACAATTTCCAGTGGGGCAGCAGAAAACTTACTTTCGCATACGTAGTCTAAGCCTAAGACGCCCCTCATACGTGTGTGTCTCAACTTTCGCTGAGCAACCTATCTTCTTCTTCTTTTTGTGTCGACAACAAACCTAAGTGTCAGCCCAAAACTCCGCCACAAGAGTGGCGTTGTCAGCAGCACTCATCAAATCCTCCTGAGTGCAGTTGCTTGGGCACGACATCAGGTGCTTCGTCGACTGGGGAACAAAACCGCACCTGCACTCCATGTTCAAGCCATCCAAGAATCCCCACCTGAGCAGATTGTCCTTTCTACGGCCAACCTGCGTCCGAAGTCTATTTAAAGACTTCCAGGTAAGCCAGGGAGCTCATGTCCAGGTGGAGGACTCTCAGACACAGGGACAAAAGGGCAGGGGAGATCGGCTCTCTCGCGCCATAACCTGCGACCTATAATAGGGATGTTTCCTGGGTCAAAAAGCAAGAGTTTTAATTAGTCCGTCAGTTAACTTATCAAAAAATACTACACTACTACACGTATTTTTCACTTTTTCAAACTAATGAAAATTTAAAGAGATAAAGCACGCCAAAGTTCATAAGAAGAGGCCCGTGACGTCAATGCGTGCATAAAAGTGCCGCACGTTGTGACGTCGTGCGGAACTTCAACGCACCATAACTATGTAATTATTTGTTAGATTGACAAATAAAAATATGTGTGTCCAATATTTTTTGATATTAAACATGACGGACTAAAAAATTTTTTTTAGGAAACTAGCCTATCCTCTTTATTGTTGTGAACATTCGTGCTCGGTGTGTAGGGCTTCGGTCTGGCTGCCATTTTCGTGTCGCCGCTGCTGCGACTTTACTCGCCGAGACTGCGGCCGCTCGCCACACAAATACTGGCTAGCGTGTTGTTCTACAACCAATCGGTTAATAGACACTTTCTTAACGTTATTACTTCAAAGCTATTTGGCCTGTCAACAAAAATAAAAATCATACCCGTTCCCTTAAGTAGGTATCCCCTAGCTAGACTGATAAGAGCTATGTATCTCTACGTCCGAGCGATTCCGTCAAAATACAGATCAAGAAAATATTTAAATGTTTACATTTTGTAACCTAACAGCAGTCAGAAAACATCTCAATGTCTCAAATTCATTCTTTTTGAGACGCTGTAAAAGAGCGGTTTGGCACTACGTTCAAATCTATATCCGTGAAGAATTGAACTACTCTTAGAACTATTGATATGGTTTACGCACTAGGCTTTCTCTAGTTATAGTCTGGTCGCTGAGTACGTAGAATTTTGTCCATTGACCCCAAGCTACCCATCCTTATCGCTCGCGCGTAATTACTTATTGCTGTCGCGACTGTGCGACGGGCGGCCACAGTGAGTGTGCGAGCGCAACAGCAACATAATTACGCGCGAGCGATAAGGATGGGTAGCTTGGGGTCATTGGACAAAATTCTACGTGCTCAGAGACCGGGCTTTAGTTTTCTACATCTGTATTTTGATGACTTTGAACGGACGAAGTGTGAAACCGCTCTAAGTGTTACGGTAGAAAACAGTTTTTTTTTATCTATAAGCTATGAACGTTTTTGGCCCTTTAGACCCCACAAACCCCCGATTTTTAGTTGGCCGATAGTTGGGTCGGGCTGTTAATCAGTGTGGACATGTATGGAAGTGCCCACATTACACCATTTTTATAATCGGCCGATTCTTCATACAAATCCGAAGCCGACCAAACTATCGGCCAACTAAGTCTGTTATCTGCGGAGTGTCATCAATTATTTGTAACAACCTGCTTTATATTATTGAGTCAAATGTATTTTATTTTAGTTTGTTCTCTGAAGCTGTGCCTTATAAATGAATATAAGTACCTGTTTTTGTTCCAGCCGGTGATAATCACAGATCTGGTGGAGTTCAAGTCCCGAAGGCCTCTCTACCCCCACCCTATTCCCTTCACAAACCTGCCTCGTAAGGGGGCGCATTGCAAGCTGTAGGTGCCGCTAGTGGCGATTGTCGACCTTATTCGTATAGACGTAAGACGCGTTACAGTGCAATGCGGTACTAGCACAATTAGTGATAGTTTAGTTTCTCGTCACTAGATGGCGTAATTCTAATACGAAATCGCGTTTACGCTAAAGCCCGATTTATTTAAGTCTTAGCGGAGCGGAGACGTGTTTTCTGAATTATACAGAAAATAGCACAAATAATTTTAGCGGAAAATGGTTTCTTTTTAATAGCACTAATAATTTAAATGGAAAATATGTGTTTTAATGACTGCTTTATATTATTTTGATTTGATAAATACAACATGACACATCGTGGTTTACGCTCGCATTCACAAACATTACTATGAGGTCTCACAGTGCGCGTGGACGCACAGGTTGACACGAACCAATTACAGAGCCCTATTCAACGCTGTGCGTTCGATTTGCTGCTTCACTTAAGCAAGCATCGTTTGTGAATACGGGCGTTATTCACTATTTGTGCTAGTAGCGCCCTTTGCGTAGTTTCCCTATTCAGTATGAAAACATAGTACACAAATATGCGTGAAAAGTAGTGTAAGAACTACACCTTTGCCATCTTGATTAGAAGAAAGGTATTATGTATTTGTAACGAATTTATATGACAATTGATGTTGTAGATAGGGCAATGACCAAGCCCTATAGTCTGGTCTGCAAGCACGTAGAATTTTGTCCAATGACCCCAAGCTACCCATCCTTATCGCTCGCGCGTAATTATATTGCTGTCGCGACTGTGCGACGGGCGCCCGTAGTGAGTGTGCGAGCGCGATAGGAACATAATAACGCACGAGCGATAAGGATGGGTAGCTTGGGGTCATTGGACAAAATTCTACGTGCTCACGGACCAGACTTTAGTTTGTGCTCACCTTGCCTAATATACAACATTGTATACCGATTATGTGCCAGGCCAATACAAATATACAACGCTGGGTACAACTGGGTAATGTGCTCCTAATAAGTTACCAAAACGGATAATACTAGCAAAGTAACATGGTGCCTATTCTTTCGGAATCGATCCTCAAAATACCTGTACTGTTAATAGCGGTTCTCATAGATCCATTTATTTTAAGTACCGGTTATCAGTGATACCGGTACATAAACCGGTTGTCAGTGATACCGGTACTTACACCGGTTCTCAGTGATACCGGTACTTTAACCGGTTCTCAGTGATACCGGTACTTTAACCGGTTCTCAGTGATACCGGTACATAAACCGGTTCTCAGTGATACCGGTACTTTAACCGGTTCTCAGTGATACCGGTACTTTAACCGGTTCTTAGTGGTACCGTTTCTCAGTGGTACCGGTTTTCAATTACACGACACGTCGTGTTGATTGTTGGTTTGGATTTAGTGCACAGTCTGTATAAATTAGTACTCTATTAGTACTTGGATTTGTTTACTATAATGGCCTATTAACTTAAATACGTATGTTTGGACCAACATATTAATAAATACAACAAAGTATCGCTCAAAATTGTGTTTGTGACTATTTTTTTTTCTTTAGACTGATGGAAATCATTTATTTAAATTATATCAGCTACAAATACCTACTACAGTATACGCCAAAAGAATATGATAATTTAGTAAATGCATTTTAATTAAAAATAAATCATAGATAGATAGAACATACATAGGCCGGGTTGCTATAAAATCTAGCCTAATCCAAATCCGTCCTTAAACTGTCTTTCAATCTGTTTTTGATCAAATATCAATAATTTTCGATGCTGTTACACTTAAATATTGTTTAAATAGTCTTGTAAACAATATGGAAATGTAAAAACATCGAAAACCGTAGATATTTGACCGAAAACATCTTGAAATATTACAGTTGACGGACGGATTTGAATTTGGATTGAATATAGAAAACCGGCGATAGACAGCTTGGTTTAAAATTTTCGTATGAACGTCCTGTTTTATTAAGAGGCTGGTTTTAGTGTCACGCGGACTGCCAGTGCGGATCGCTCCGCACAGCCGATCTGTATGAACTGCTAGGGAGCGGAGCGGACCGCATTACTCTAAAACGCTCCCTAGAAGTTCATACAGATTGGCCGTGCGGAGCGGGTCCGCACCGGACGGTCCGCGTGACACTAAAACCAGCCTAAGGCATTGAGAAGATCGTAATATTAAAAAATTGTATTAGTTGTATATTTTGAGTTACTAATTGAGAATGTTACTAGGTATGCAAAATCACTTGAAATCTATGTTACAGTTAGGCTTTTACATTTACAAATACATTAGTTTTTATTTCATTCAAAAATACCCAGTAGTTATGATTTTATAGGCATTCAAAGTTCGCTTAAATATTGAGTCCCGCCGACGGTCACGTGACCCCGCGTGACGTACATTCACAGTGGTCGCTCACTAGAAAACGGATATAAACATACTTAAATACATTTTTTTTGTAAATACAAACTTATTATACATATTAACACCCAGACCCATCACAGAAATTAAAATTGAATCAAACCCAAACATAATGCGATTGTGTCGTTTTATTGCGAATTACCTTCCAGCTCCATCATTAGACCCTGATTACTATATAGAATTAAAGTACTCATCAATACAAAACGAACGAGCCCAAACTCGATGGATTTAAGTCGTTTTATTATAGAGTTCCTATGGCCACCTTCCAGCTCCATCATCAGATCAGCTCCATGTCATCATAATATTGCATGGTCATCCAAATCACATGTGTTTGCGAAATTTCAGCTTAATCGGTTGCCTGGAAGTGGGTCTTAATTCAGCTTGCAAGATTCCACCCATACAAATATGAGCCAGTCACTGTAATATGACGTCACGCGCATATAATGGCGGGCCGGCCGCCGCCCGCACTTTTAAAATTCAATATCTTGGAAACTAATTGACGTATCGAAATAATTCTTTCACGTGTATTTTTTATTTTTAACAGAGAATTATTAGCCATTTAATTTTGAATTGGATGCTTTTACTTCAAGGTTCTAAATCAATTGATGTTTTATAATACATCGGTATATACCTATACTATGAGTGTACATATAAATATTTATTCGAATGAAATAATACTATTTTCAAATTGTTTGACGATTATTTCGTTGCTATAGCGTTCTTCTATGTTATAGAATCACTTGATTTTAACACACATACAATTAAAACCACAAATATCAGACTTTTTGAGCTGCCATTGGTGTCTGATATGCCTGACATTTCGACGCAATATTTCTGGGACATACTGCCACATTTTCTGGGCAATATTATAGCCTTGGCAATATTGCCTATGTTAATGAGGCAATATGGCCAGTGCTGTTGGAAGATATTGCTTGCCAGTTGTACTTGGCAATATTGCCTATATTATGGGCAATATTGCCAGTAGTGCTGCTGTGTAATATTGCTTACATTGTCAGCTCAATCAAATTGACAGCTCTTTTAACTAGTATCTTTGTATTTACTATTATTCTATACATAGAAGAGCGCAATAGAGCCTTATGTACATTTTGTATACATACATGTATGTTTTTGCATTTTGTGTTGTTTATTTTTATTCCGTACATTGTTTTATTAATAAGGATAAATAAATGTTTCGAGAAATTATAGTTTGTTTGTTTTACCCCAAGTTTTTACCTTCTATTACTATTTAGCAAGAAAATTGTAATTATTTCTTAGCGGTTCTCTTTCCTGTCTTTAATGACTAAGACGGCTACCCCAGGATTATTAAGAAAAATACTGGTAGGTATTCCGTAAGTTAAATATCACACGAACCAATCACAGAGCTCTATTCAACGCTGTGCGTTCGATTTGCTGTTTCGGTTGAGCAAGCATCGTTTGTGGATACGGGCGTTAGCTCTCAAAACTCCAAATGTACATTTTTAATAACACACCATACCAAAAATATTAGAGGAAAAATTGGTCACGAAAATAAAGTTCAGAAAATCGAATTGCAAAATGGAGGTAAAAAATCTCTAATTTGGGCCATAAGGAAAATATGTGTTCTTAAGTTATTATCGTGATTATTTTTATGTATTACCATATTTTGTTTTTATACAGGCAAAATTGGTTAAATGAAGGTGAAACCCGAATACGAGTTAAAGGAAGATGGTAACATCCAATCCCATGAAAAATTTAGTTACTTCTTAGCCTAGTAGTTCGCGTTTGGACTATGGCAGAGATCGCAGGTTCGATTTTCGCGCAATAATTGAGGTGTACTTGAACACATCTGTTTGTATTTGTCTGGGTTTTATTCTACGATGTAGTTATGCATTTAAAAAATGTATTTGATCCGTCTGGTGTACCTACCTGGTCGAGTTTTGGTTAGTTTGAGACTAGATAGCTTTGTGTATAAAATGTTTTATCCCTTTTGAAAGATGAAAAAATGCTTAGGGGAACCTGTTGAACCTTGGACAGAGTTGTACCTAAAACAATTGTATATATTTTTTAAATTATGCGGTTTTATGAAAAGTTGTCTAGGGTATTACATACGTTATTTGTCAACATTAACGTGAAGTTAGCTAAGATTCGCCGACGCCGTGCAAGTACAAGAAAAAATGGTAATTTAATATTTTACACTGACGCAGTGAGTTTTTGGAGGTTTACTTCATGTCAATTTATGAAAAATGTTGCATGTTTGACAAAACGGTTATTGGCTCCGTACACGATTACAGCGCCAACTAGCGTCCACAACTTTGTGGGTTCTGTCACATTGACATTTAGGTCGTATATTTGTGAAAAAATATCGAAATGAAAAAATAACAAATATTTTCCACTAATAAATTGTTGTGATACCACGATTTGGGTGGAAAAAAGGTTTTGAAATCATTTTGGTCATTCAAATCAAATGAGGTAAGTCCAAAAAGTGTGTTTAATTTTGATTGTGTCAGGGTTTGTTTACTTCATTTATAGTTGTAGTTTTACAGTAAAACAAAAAGAAAAAGCTACTTTAACGGTTTCATTATATAACAGTAAATATATTTAAATGTTTCTGTATCGCTAGTAATAAATTAAATATCGTTTTCAGATCGAAATGAGTATCGTTTTGAAGACCGGGTTTGTGAGAGTTACAATATCAAATTCCAACCACAAACCGTATTTAAAGGAAAGTTGTTGGTATTGGCTGGACAAGTCCGAGATGTAGAAGAATTAAGAACAAAACAAGGGCAGAGTTCAATAATTCACGCTCTCATCATAAGGCAAACATCTGTGCACAACAACTACTGTGACTCATTTTTGTACTACCACGTTGTATAGTTTAGTTATTTNAGAATTTATGTTAAATGATAAGAAATAAAAAAAACTAGATTGCAAGTTAAAGCCACTCCAGCGCGTATTTTGTCCTACACGACATAACATATCAACATTCAACAAAATTTTCTAGAAAAAATGTTGAATATTGTCATATTTTTGTTGATTGTGTAAGGCTAAACATGGACTGGAGAGCCGGCTTAAACTTAAGTGATTTGTTGCCAAAAAATTGTGAAAAATAATTAGTACAAAAAATATGGATGAGGATCTTTTTTAAAAAATACTTTTACTTAGATATTGTTGCTAATAACTGTAATAATTGGTATTTCAAATAATAATTTAACAGAAAATTAACAAATTGAAGCGAATATAAGCATTTATTTAAATTTAAATAGGTACAACGTACACGGTTCAAGGTACATCTGGTTTGTTGTACCTAGGACAGTTTTCCCTTTTTTTTTCTAGCAGCTAGTATGCCCAAATTTTTAAAATTATACACAATTTTATGAATGAATTATGTAGTTAATTAAATGATCTTTAAATATAACTGCACTAGACAAGTTTAACTATCACCATTATTTTTCAAAAAATCAAAATTCGAAAAACTGGCCTAAGTAAGTACAACAGGTTCCCCTATTTCTTATACCAAAAATAGAGCCATACAAATCAACATAAAAAGAAAAGAATAAGATTTCCCACGTAAGTGGATTTTTGTAATCTTTTATGAGAACAAACTTACCAGGTCGAGTTTTGGTTAGTTTGAGACTAGATAGCTTTGTGTATAAAATGTTTTATATCCCTTTTGAAAGAAAGAAAAAATGCTTTTTTCTTATACCAAAAATAGAGCGATACAAATCAACATAAAAAGAAAAGAATAAGATTTCCCACGTAAGTGGATTTTTGTAATCTTTTATGGGAACAAATTCTTTACACCTTAATTAATTGTACCAAAGCTTTTTGAAGTCCACTAAAAATGGGAGCCAAGATAATGCATAACTGTTGTCGACAAAGTATGGGATGGATGCCGAGCTCAAGCCTACGCTTACCCTACAGTTAAATCTTAGTAAAGCTAAATCTCCAATTAAAAACTCGTTTTATAAGTAATTAAATTAAGCCAGAAGGCGCCCAGACTATTATATTATAATGTATACAGACGTATTTTTGCTCAATATAATATCTCGACCGGTTGAGGTCATTGCTTGAGGAAAAGAGCGCGCGTAAACACTGCGGACTATAGCGCGGTACAATATTTGTGGATACCGACTAAGCGTCCATCCACAAGGTGGACCGACGACATCGTAAAGGTAGCAGGGAAGCGCTGGACGCAGGCAGCTACCAATCGATCAACATGGAAAGCATTGGGGGAGGCCTATGTTCAGCAGTGGACGTCCTTTGGCTGAAATGATGATGATGATGATAAAAGCTTATTAATATTTAATAAAACGTTTTTTTTGTGAGTACCAAATTTTTAAGCTCTTTTTCATGTTTTAAAGTTACTATGTTTCTTACTATTTAACGCTAACTTAACTATAAACAAAGAAAAAAAAACATTGAAGTATAAAAAAAATGTCTAACAAACTTAATCATTTTTTGAATTCGAATGCAAACGAATTGAGAATTGAATTTCAGGATACGATTTAAAACAAAACGGTGAGTAGAAGTTTAACTCTAGAAGAGCTAAAACTCCACAACATTCGTACCATGTTTACGTATCATCATTGTTCTATACAATCAGCTGTGTTTCTTACATTTTCTCAGTCACGCTCGTAAAGGCGTGTAGACCGGTCGCTAACTGGTTTAGTTTTTAAATTACCCACCAAAAAAGATTATTAACTACCGCCTAAAACAGATTTTATACTGTGAAATGAGATAAGTTTAGTTTTAAAGTAAAAATGATTTATAAAATTGCATTTTGTTTGTTGTTGTGTGTTTTTTCGAACGGAGCAGACGAGGGTAAGTTAAATGTTATTTTATTTAATTATTTCTTATTAAGATAGATATAAGTTCCATACGAGCTTAATTTTTGTATTAGTCATGGTATTTTTCTACCATGTAAGTTAAGTAGATGGGTTTTTTCATGAGACAAATACATCTTTTAACATGATGCATAACATTTAAAAAAGTTAGAAATCAAATTGTTTACTACAGATAACGGTTTGAATTAACCCGTTCGACTGTTAAGTACATCCTTGATCCCCTACTACTAGCTACATAACTTATCAGTCTTCTAACTACTAGAACTAACTACTAGAAAAGCTGTTCAAAAATAATAATTAGGTACTTCAAATCAGTAAAAAGAATGCGCACGGACTTAAATAATTACAACGATAGGGTCTCCTTATGCCTCCGTAGACTAATGCCCGTTTTCACCATCAATCCCTAAATTTTAAGTGACCCCTATCAAAACAAAGTAGCAAACAAAGAAAAAAAGCAGACGAGGCGAAGAAAATCGGCAAGACCTGGAGCGAGATCAAGCGCGAAGCTCAAGACCGAACGCGATGGAGGACTGTTGTGAACGCCCTCTGCCCCATCTAGGGGACATAGGACCTTGAGTACCTTGGTACTATTACTTATTCTGTGCTTAAGTCAAGTAAGTCATGAAAACAAAGTTCCTGTTATGTGTTACCATAGGGGTCACTTAAAATTAGGGAATGATGGTGAAAACGGGCATAAGTTTTTCAAATTAAGTAAGTAGAAAGTTTGTAGTCTGGAGGGATTATAATTTTGGTCTAATACCCATCTATTATTGTCCAGGCGAAGTTTGCAACAAGAATGGGACTCCAGGAGTGTGCATTAACATCAAGGACTGCAAATCTGCCAGGGAAGACTTGAGGAACAAGAAATTCCCTCAGGTTAGTAAATAATGATATAATTCACAGTATTCCTACCCCAGCTACTCTCTATTCGGCCCAAAGGTTAACTAGAAGAGAATACCACATGGCATTAAGTTCGCCTCGTATTTGTTTATAATTTGATTCTAGATTTCTAGCACTAGCCGTGTGATTTCATCAGAGTAGAATAGGATCCCCCCACTCTTCCTGACGATGTCGTAAAAGGTGACTAAGGGACTAAATGCGAACATCAAACCTCCCTAAACCTTAAGATTATCATAAACTAGCTTTCCGCCCGCGTGCAATATTGTCTGTCACAGAAAAACCTTATCGCGCGCGTCCCTGTTTCAAAAACCGTGATAAAAACTATCCTCTATGTCCTTTCCCGGGACTCAAACTATCTCTGTGCTAAATTTCATCAAAATCACTTCAGTGGTTTAGGCGTGAAAGCAAGACAGACAGACAGAGTTATTTTCGCATTTATATTAGTATAGATTTTAAATTCGTGTAAGAATCATTACGAAATAATAAGTCTTAAAAAACTGGTTGATTTTTAAGCAAATGGGCAAAATAAATGAGATGTACCGATCAGGTTTTGCAAATCAACAGAAGTATGCAATTTGATTTTATTCATCAAAATAAAAAGAAAATGTAACAGGTTTTAAAAATACCTGACCGAGGGCCTGTCGGTGAGCTTGTTATACGGAGTAATGACCTACGAAGGTGGAACATGACAGTAAGGCTGGTTTTAGAGTCACGCTGACGCACGCTGACCGTCAGCGCTGACAGCCGAAATGTATGAAGCGTCGGCGCCGAGCTATCAGCGTCACTCAGGAACGTTCCCTTTAATTACTTACATACTTACATATTGATCTGTCAGCGCCGACGATCAGCGAGCGGTCAGCGCGATTCTAAAACCCGCCTAAATATAGCTGGCTTATTAACTACCCATTTGCCAAATTAAGTGGCAGTGGGCGAGGCACATAGCTCGTAGAGCTGATGGCCACTTGGACAAAGTTATCGAGTGACAACCACGGACTGGCTAACGTAGTGAGGGTGGGCCTCCCACTAGAATCACTAGACGGATCGATGATCTGGTGAAGATCGCGGGAAGTGCAGGCAGCGCAGGACCAAACATTGTAGAAATCCTTGGGGGATGCTTTTGTCCAGCAGTAGACATCTTGTGGCTGAAATGATGATCGTCAGGTGATTCAGTCTCCATTGCTGATGTTCGCACGTTTATCCCTTCCTTAGCCGACTCTCGCGATTCTATTCTATTATTCTGCTAAAACCACCACATGGATTAAAATATTCTGAAGTAAGGACGTCCACCCACAAGGTGGACCGACAACCTCATAAAGGTAGCAAGAAGGCGCTGGATGCAGGCCGCTACCAACCGGTCATTATGGAAATCATTGGGCGAGGCCTATGTTCAGCAGTGGACGTCCTGTGGCTGAAATGATGATGATGATGAATGAAGTAAAGATTACATACATAAGCCTACATTTCATACTGATTTCCTACTTAACTGTTGCCTATTCTTGTGGGGCACACTGAAAACCAGCGCCGTGGCCTTCGTCACCGTGGGCCACGGCATATGCTGAGTGGGGTCCCGTTGCAGTGGGCATCTTGTTGGTGGATGGGTGGCACTGCTCAGTTTACTCTTGTTTTTATTTTTTCTTCTTCCATTATTATGTGCCACTGTCATGTCTATGTAATTGCCTGTATTTGTGTGATGTCCATTGTAATAAATGTGTCTTTCTTTCTTTCTTTCTTTCTTTCTTTCTTTTCCCAGATCTGTTCTTACATCGGGTCTGACCCAGTGGTGTGCTGCGTCGACAATGCTCCTCCTCCTCCACCACCAACCACCACCACCACCACCACCACAACCACCACTAGTCGACCACCAGTCATCACCACTAACAGGTATTATAAAGCTGAAGAGTTTTGTTGTTTGCTTGAACACGTTAATCTCAGGAATTACTTACTAGTCCGGTTTGAAAAATTATTTTTGAAAGAAAACTCATAAACACTCATAAAAGTCATTTATTTCTGTAAATAGGCTTGAAAAAAGCACTTTTACTAACTGAAAGGAAGAAAGAAAGAAGAAATGTTTATTCAGTATCATCGACAATACACAACTTACTTACTTACAAGGTAATTACAATGATACTGAAAAGGTACCTATCTACTCAGCATGGTGTCGTAAGCATTACAGTAGACCAGGGTTTCCCAAACTATGGGTCACGACCCAGTGGTGGGTCGCGAGCGAACATTGAGTGGGCCCTGCCTGTAAAACGACACCTACCACTCTGCCGATACAACCGCTGGGCAGCGGGCGAAATTTCCTATACTTAGGTGGGGGTCCCGAGTTTGGGAACTTGTATTAGGTGAGTCGTAGGCGTCGTAGCCCAGACAACTTTGGGAACCACTGCAGTAGACAATGCCACGATGCTGGTCTTCCGTGGACACCCAGTTTTGCATTGGATAGCCCATTTACCGAGGCTTTAGGCTATATGACATGACCAATTACTTAAATAGCTACAGCCAATAGGGGCGGAGCAGTAAAGAAAAATGTTGCAAAAACGGGAAATACTGTTCAAACTATTTTCACGCGTAGGGTAGACCGGGGACAATAGTACCATTTTTTGGAAATTGTTTAATATTGAGAAATCTAATGAAATATAACTTATTCTGTTAGTATGCTGTAAAAACTAGACTCCTAAGCTACAAATTTTTTAAGCATGCAGAGTTGAACTATTCTTTCGAATACTTAATGAAAAACGAGTTTGAACTGTACGATGTCTCATGTTACAATTGACCCCTACAACGGGTCAATTGTACCAATAATATATGAGGCTATAAAAGTCGTTATGTTTATCTAATCATCACCTTTATTGGTATTCTGTACTCTTAATCTCCCACAATCATTATTCTTTATTAATTGAGATCGAAAATATTTAGGAACAAGTATGAAAAATCAACACTAAAGTTTAAAAACAAAATAATAACTTTTCTTCCATAAAAACGAAAAAGCTAACTGTTTCTACATAATATGTCATTTATTTGGCTCGGATATTGCTCCTGAAACAACAATAAGCATAATAACAATGATAGAATAATCAAAACTTAAAAATCTATTTTTGTATGAGGGTACAATTGACCCCTGGTACAATTGACCCTGATTTATTTATACCTACTAATGCTTCGCCCTTTTAAAAAAAAATCATAAGCCTGTTCATAAAGGAATAGATCCGTTGATCCGTGATCAGTACTTTTAACTCTACGTCGAGGCATCTAAAACCAAACGTTCAAATACTTAGTTACTAACTGAATTAAGCTAAAATGTACATATTCAGAAGGGTTTTAGAAACATATATTAAAATATTTTAAGTAGGCATTTAGGTACTTATATCACCTTTTTATCGACATCTACCTACTTATTTAATAAAACACATTAACTATTTTTTCAGTAGGTAGGTATGCCTATAATTATAAAAATATAATTGTAAAAATGTAAAATAACCACGTGAATGTTTTATAATAACCTATTTTATTATAAGTATAGGTACTTTAAAACCAATTTAAAATATTAAGTATAAAATAAGGTTCCGGGGGTTAATTGTACCACGGGGTTGATTGTACCGCTACAATTGACCCCATGGAGACTGGTACATTTGTTCCAAGTAGGTAGTCAAGAGAACTTCACCTAAAATTCAGTCATTTTCACAGTGAATGCCAATAATTCGCTGTCGATACAAAGTTTAGAGCCTGGATAAACTATTGACAACAATACTTTGGTAATAAATAGCATATTAGGTAACTTATGGGCTCATATATTTGACATAAAACTTACTGCGGCTGGGCAAAAAACGAAAATCCTTCCTGTACACCTTCGTTTTTCAGCACAAGCGCCGCCGACTGGTGAGCGGATGGAAACACAAAAAGCGCATATTCTGACGCTATGCACACAATCTAACGTCGCTTGTATGAAGAAATATCGCCGATGGTACTATTGACCCGTGGTACTATTGTACCCGGTCTACCCTACGTAGCCGCTACTTAGTTATTTTATAAGTTTTCCTAGCCCTTATGGTTTTCCGTTGGTCTCATAACAAGGTTATTTAAAAATACTTGGTATTAGTACCTATATTTCCCACAGCAATTAATTGACTCAAGCAATTATCTTAGAGGCGTGACTCACTTGGCGATGTAAGACAAGCATTTTAGGAAATCCCAACCCACAAATTTTAATGTGTACATTACTAATCATAACTGGCATTACTAAGACTGTTGCACCACTTTATTTTAACCATGACTTAAGTAATCATAACCGGTGCTTTTGTATGGAGTTTGACAGACTTTTGACGTTTGTTAAAGTTAAAATAAGATGGTGTAACTCAGCCTAAGCATAATGAAGAGAACTGTGATAAGTAATTAATTTATAGAGGAAAACATAACTTTAAATTAATTAATTAGAACCATTATTAATTAATAAGATAAATTAAGGAAAACATATTACTTTTATATCCTAGATATGACATAAGCAAAATACATAACATTATACAGGGTGGAAACGATAAGTGATCTCACTGGATTATTTCTAAACTATACAAGATATCCAAAAATTGGTTACTGATCCTGAAAGTGCTTCACGAGCTCTATCCAACGGTATCAATAAATAGGTTACAAAATAAACTGGATCTTTCCGAAAATTCAATCGCGTGAGATCACTTATCGTTTCCACCCTGTATACCCATTTATTACTGCCTACATGCATACCTACTATGTATATGATAGTTAATCGATTTCTACCGGTTTGTCTCGTTTTCCTATATGATTGTTTTCCTTAACACGCAAGACAAGAGCAAGTTAGATTAATTTATTAATTTAATTAATCTGGTTAACTTTTTTACCGCCTGGAAAAAATGGGTATACGCCCATATTCACAAATCGAACGTACAGCGTTGAATAGAGCTCTGTGATTGGTTCGTGTGACACCCTGTGCGTCTACGCGCACTGTAAGACTTACTTAATAGTAATGTTTGTGAATTTTCTAATTTTTAAAGGGTTCCGTACCCAAAGTTACTAACGAAATCCTATTGAATTTGCTACAATTTATTTATTTATTTATTTATTTATATTAGGGAAACAAACAATTTTGATATACAGACAAATAATCACACAAAAAAATAGGACAGAAATCAGCGAAGTTTCCACAGTTAAAAATACAATTACAATTTGAACTTGACAGCGAATTTAAAACTCATTCGTAAGTAATGTCGCGTTAAGACCCGTGTCTTTCTATTTTAGTGGATCATTGTTGTCTTGGAATAAATAAATTGAATTAAATAACTATTTTACTTACAGACCCCCAAACAACGGCCCCTCGACCCCCTACATCCCCGTGTATGACTACGTCAACAACGACGGCTCCCCGTCCGGTTGTGAGCCGCTGTCACCCAAGCTGACCTCCCCCAAGATTGGACAGAAGGCCTTTGACAGTAAGTACTCATTCTACATTAGTTAAACACTATTATCCCTAGCCGTGTGGTGACGGCAGAGTAGAACACATTTGTCACCAACCCCTACTCTTCCCGCGGGTGTCGTAAGAGGCGACTTAGGGACTACACATCAAACAGAGAACGGGCAGCAGCGCTCTCTGAAAAACATCAATATTTTAAACTGCGATCTCCAACCCGCCTGACAAGCGTGGGGATTATGGCAAAACCCTCCACTATAGTGGAGGAGGCTCATAGTCCAGCAGTAAACTGTAAAGGGTTGTTGATGATGATGATGATTCCCACCTCTCGTTCCCACCGCTGCAACTCCTGTGTAGCCAGGATCTACAGCTTGACCGCCAATAACCCAACCAGTGAAGGTCAAGTTTGTCCCGGGGAAAGTTAAACTGTCATTGGACCCGCAACGAAATTAATCGGGACGGTCACACTGGATGCATGATACGGGCTGTGTTTATTGTGACCTGAATGCAGACAGCTTGCAGTGTGACAAGTCCACAGCTGGACACTAAGCCGAGGAGAGAAAAACAACACGACGTTTTTCTCTACATTTCTTTATGTTACAAATTAAGGTAGTATTTATCCATTTTTAAAGGAAAATTAATTAGTCATTTAGTCTTGCGATTAGGTAGTATCATAGGGCTCATAGCTCATGAGTAAGGGCTCATGTTGGTAGCCGGCGACTGGTTGCGCCGCCATGGTATCCCGGTGAAATTATATCCCTAAGACTAGGCGCAGAGCACCGATTTTTAGTTGGCCGATAGTTGTGCCCGATTTTAAATTGTATGAAGAATCGGCCAAATTGAATCGGCGTAATGTGCGCACTTCCATACATGGCCATACTGATCAACTGCCTGACTCTGTCACTCTGTCTCTGAGCTCTATCAGTTCTTCCCGGAGGTGGCTGGTAGGCTCAGCATGCGCTGGGTCCAACCGGACTATGTGACCTCGCAGATACTCACTGGACACGGGTGCTTCAATAAAAGGCTGAGCGACATGAAGCTGCGAGAGGGGAGTATGTGTGAGTGCGGCGAGAGTGAGGAGGACAGGCACCACGTTCTGTGGTACTGTCCCCTGTATGAAGACCTGCGGTGTGAGATGCTGAGTGGGATAGCGCTCTCGGAGGGCTACGGTCCTGCGTGGTACCCCGATCTTGTCAGCTCGGAGGCGAACTTCGCGCGGCTGCGATGTTTCGCGCACGCGTGGCACAGGAGGCGGAACGGACAGACGCCTAGCGGCCAGGCACCGGATGGTGCCAACGTGCTAGTAGAGTCCATGCCCCAGAAGGGGGAGAGTGGCAAGGGACAAATGGACAAAGATTAAAGAACTTGTAGAGAGTCAAGAATTGCGCGCGGTGGAGTGCAATCTGCCGTAGGCAGCCGCAATTCCGCGCGCATCTCTCAAGATTCGGCCACAATAATCGCGAGGTTGGTATGGCCATGGGTGGTGGTGGGATTTGATCAACTGCCTGACTTAACTATCGACCGACGAAAAATCAATGGTCTGCGCATAGGCTAATAGTTTTTACTTTTAAGCCATCCACGCAGTTTATTTTAAAACTAGAATTTAATGTTTATTAACCAAACCTTCCCCAGAATGCGTGGAGTACCAGCAGTCTCTCATCTACCCGTGCAAGAAGGGAGTGGCGCTGATCGGCGACTTCACCAGGGCTCACCAGTGCCACCACAACGCCGAAGACCTGATCATCGGCGGGGACCCGGCGAAGAAGGACGAGTTCCCGCACATGGTAAGAACACTTAAGACTTTTGGGAATAATGTTTTTTAAACGTCCCCACAGACTATACAGAATGACATAAAAATCGTTGGCATCCTTTTAAACTAAAACTACTCATGGTACATAGTAGGTCAATTTGCCTCTGGTACCTAAATAAGAGAGGGTTTCTAGAATCTAAAGGAACTTGGTCAAATTCGGTACATTCAGCATCAAATAGTTCTTGACACCCAAATTGGAATAACGTTGTGTTAGTTATCAGCTTTTTGGCCACTTCGCGTGTCACGAACTATTTGACGCTGACTGTACCTACCCATCATCATCATCATCATCATTTCAGCCATAGGACGTCCACTGCTGAACATAGGCCTCCCCCAATGCTTTCCATGTTGATCGATTGGCAGCGGTCTGCGTCCAGCGCTTCCCTGCTACCTTTACGATGTCGTCGGTCCACCTTGTAGGTGGACGTCCCACGCCGCGTACCTACCCATGATTGCCCATAATGTCCTTGATCGGTTTTTTGGGTTAATGAATAATTGTTTATTACATTATTTGATTGGCTTTTGATGATTTAACCAATTAAGTAATACTTACCTCCTAAGGCCTAAACAATCATTGGATTGGTGATTCACCATATTTCAATGGAAGATATAATTTTTAAGTCTTCGACCAAACAAGAGTAATTGTAATTATTAATCTCAGAATAAATCGTCAGTTTTGACATATTTCCCATACTGAAACTGTCAATGTGCCAGTTATACCAGGAGTTATTTTTCGGAAAAAGTTTAGTCTAATCGGGCCTAAGTATTTTCTTTATTTGAAAAACATAAACGAGTCCTACAACCACCAATCTTTTAAAACAGATTTAGAGCTATACTTTATTTTTCAGGTCCTCCTCGGCTTCGGCAACGACATAGCCACCGTCCAGTTCCAATGCGGCGGCTCCCTCATCAGCGAACAGTTTGTGCTCACCGCGGGACACTGCACCGTCAGCAGGGAAGGGTGAGCGCATGCTGTTTTCCATGACTAAATAATACTTTTAGTACGAGAGCCCACGACCAAAACCATGTCTCATAGAAATACGGCAAAAACCCTATAAAATCGTTAGATTGTATGATTCTGAACCCGAATAGGTGTGTAGTAACGGTCGAAAGTGTAGCAACTGCGTGGGAGGCCATTTCTGCCGTGTCAAAAAAAAAAGACAGTCGGTATTATAGCAATACGTCTGATAGTGAAAATGTACATAGATTTTATAATTGTATTACGAAAAAGTTTGTTTTCAGACATTTTGCGCGTAGCATATAGCCTGTGCGCATTTTTGAAAATGTCAACAAATTTAGCCGACCTGTATCATAGCAATACGGATAAATTTTATTTTGAACTTTTCGTATTGCTGCCATGATTACCAAAAACCTGTTTTCAGACACTTTAAGTGTATCAAAAAGTTGTATGATAGAGAAGGTGCTACACTTAATTTGTCTGATATAAATTTTTTGCACATGTGGACAACTTATTTTATCATGTCCAACAATTTTCAGACATATTGCTATGATACCGATCGGTAAAATTTGTTAACATTTTCAAAATGGTCTCAAAATTTAATGCGTTCACATTTCCGTCTGAAAATTGTTTTGTTAGCATCAAATAACCAAAATTTACTAATAAAAAAGATTTTCAGACGTATTGCTATGAGACATTTTTTTTGTCTCATTTTTAATTTTTTTAAGTGATTTTACGGGTTTGCGCTACACCACTAACGTCTGAAAATAATGTTTCCGGTATCTCAGAACTATCATTCAACTACAGTCTGCAAATCAGACATATTGCTATGATGCAGTTCGGTAAAATTCTTTGACAATTTTGAAAATTCGGTCAGATCAAACGCTACGCGGAAAATGTCTGATATTGGTATTTTCGAGTTCAGGATAATCGTATCTATCGATTTGATGTGGTTTTGGCCGTATTGCTATGAGACAAAAATTTTGGTCGTGGGCTCTCGTACTATTTGGTTCAGCCAAAGGACGATGTCATGACATGAGGCTCATGTGCGTATACAGAGTGGAAACGTAAAGTGATCTCACTCGATTATTTCTAAACTATACAAGATAACGAAAAACTAGTTACTGATCCTAAAGTGGTTTATGAGATCTATCAAAGGGTATCTATATGTAATAGGGTACAGAATAAGCTGAATCTATCCGAAAATTAAATGTTTTCAGCTTCCATACTAAATGTATGCCAACCATACAATTTTTTTAATCGTTTTCACCCTGTGGGGTTTGGGCCGTGCCTACCCCAGAATGGTCTGGTGCCCACCCCAGGATTCTGGCTGGTGCCCGCTCCAGGATTTTGGGCTGCTGATTTGAAGGTGATAGTTTATTTATAGTACTCACTCATGTTTACCTCTGCCACGGGTGTTATTGTGGGGTCTTTACTCCAAGGTCTTTCTGGCCCTTCGATCGTGGTTCATCCGTGCAATGTGCCCTGCCCTATCTCTATTTAAATACGGCTCTCAATCTCTTCCACCACGTCGCTGACCCCAGTCTTTTCTCTACGTTTCTAAAAGAGGGACAGATGATATCGGGAAACAAGCTGAAATAAACGTAATGCAAGTGGCCAGGGACAGAAGTCGGTGGAAGGTTGAAGAGGAGGTCTATGCTCAAAGACGAACCCCAAAGGCTGTTATAGATTAGAGAGAAAATCACGCATGATACTGAACGCCATCATTTCTACCTGTTCACTGTCACTGTCATTAAGGAAATTGCTAGCAGTGATCGCCAATGAAAGGGAGACCGTATTTTGTGGCACTTTTTGACTTTACCGTAACGTTATACGTCTGTACATGAAAATGTGATAGGTTGAAATGACACTTACAAGAGTGTCCAACTCTATTTATTTTATAATTTTTAACCCTAAAATCACCATTTTAATTATTTTTCCAGCGGTCCAGTAACATATGCGCTCATGGGCGCCCTCAAGCGGTCGGACCCCATCAACAACGACCTGCTGCGGCGCGTCAAGCGATACATCCCCCATGATGACTACAAGCCGCCCCATAGGTACAACGACATAGCGCTGGTTGAGTTGGAATCCCCGTAAGTATTCTTTATTGTAATATTTGTAATGATAATCTGCATCTTTATATCTACTAGTCGACTCAAGTAGCAACACATTCTCTTAAAAAGGCATTGAAGATATCTTGAAGACTAGTAGAATAATTCCAATCGTTGTCTTGGCTAATAATAATAATCGCACTTAAAATATCTTGAAGATATCCTCCAAGACAATGGTAAGTAAAAAAGGGCACAGTCCTTAAGGAAACCAACAAGACGGAGTTAAGACGACCCATAAAGCAGATTTAAACCCTAAATAAGAGTGTAGCTATACCTACCGCTAGCCGAGCGACTAAATACTTTCTATACCGACTACTTAGTCGAGTCTTCTTCTTGTCGTGTCGACAACAAACCTACAATGTCAGCCCAAAACTCGGCTACAGGAGTGTCGTTGTCAACAGCATTCATTAAATCTTCCTGCGTGCAGTTGTTTGCGCACGCAGGGCAATAATTACAACTTAGAAAACACTTTTGAACTCGAATTTTGCGTGCACCGGCGCGGCGGCGGCAAAATGTTTTGCGTAAATAATCAAAATAGACCGCCCTCGAAAACAGCGGCGCGGCAGCGGAGCAGAAGAGGATGAAGAGCTGTGGACTCAGTAAAAAAAATGTACTACCAACAAAAACGTAACACCTATGAGCACGTTACGGCTACTGGTATTCTGCGAATGAGAGGGTCAACAAAAACTTTACCAACACGAGTTAACAAACGTACAACGCCATCTAGCGTTGAGTAATTAAACTGTCACTGGTGTATACTGAGAAAAAAAGAGAGAGTCAACAAAAACTTTACCAACACGAGTTAACAAACGTACAACGCCATCTAGCGTTGAACAGTATTACTGTTTCTCTATCCGTGATGTAACTAAGCGGTGGCGACTAAGAGTATGCGCACACCGTTGATTTTTCGTCGGCCGATAGTTAAGTCGGGCTGTTGATCAGTATGGGCATGTATGGGAGTGCGCACACTACGCCGATTGAATTTGGCCGATTCTTCATACAATTTGAAATCGGGCAAAAGTCACAACTATCGGCCAACTAAAAATCAACGGTGTGCGGCCACTCTAAATGACCTGATGACGTATCTTTCCAGGGTCAAGCTCTCCCAGTTCCTGGTGCCCGCGTGCGTTCACGCCGGGGACTCGCCTGAGGACCGAGTGCTGGCCACGGGATGGGGCCTCACCGAGCATAGGGGGTCCACGTCTGATGTCTTACAGAAGGTAGGTTCTCATCATCATTTTAGCCATAAGGCGATAAAGGATCATGACAGATATGCAGTCCGCTAAAAGATATACTTGCAGTAGATGCATAGGTATAGGGTGTAGGTGGACCGACGACCTGATAAAGGTAGCAGGAAGGCGTTGGACGCAGGTCGCTACCAACCGGGCGATGTGGAAGTCATTGGGGAGGCCTATGTTCAGCAGTGGATGTCCGTGGCTGAAATGACGATGATGATGAGTAGCATATTAATTAGATAGCGGATTGTACCTACTTATAGATTTGGTTACGACGGCTATCAAGAGATGGCGCTGTCCCATTTTACATCGCACTATCGTTCGTTTTGTTTTAACGACATTTATAGCTAACTCATCAGGAAACAAAAATGTAATTGTGTCACCTTGTATTGATACTATATTGTAAATTACCTACTTATCAATAGTAATTTCCATTACTGTGCGCTATTGTATCGATCAATAGTTCTGTAGGCAGTCTTGACACTATTACAACAAATCGACAATGAAGTTAGAATCTATTGGGACATAAGAGCGACCATAATTTTGTTCACAGACCTTGAATTTTTGAATCCTGCTGTAAAACCAAACCCTTGTGTCTTCCAGGTGATTCTGAACCAGTTCACGACTGAGGAGTGCTCAGTCAAGTTCCCCGTTCACCGCCACATGAAGCAGGGCTTCGACCCCAACACGCAGACCTGCTACGGGGACAAGATGGAGCGCAAGGATACCTGCCAGGTCAGTTGATGGATGACAAATCTGTCAAAACGTAAAGCTTCAACCAAAAAAAGCGTGCAGATTGCTATCGCCGGCGCGATCATTAGCCAATGACAGGACGCGCGACCAATGACAGGTCCCGCGACCTGTCAACTCATATTTCTAGTGGAGGGCCAGACACATCGCGATAACCGAGATTCACGCTTTCGCAATTTGTGTCGCCAAGTAGGACTTATTCGCGTATAGTTCGGCGCTTTTTCAGAATTGGGGCACAGGCAAAAAGGGCATGAAAAAGCTTTTAAAAAATGTCGTAAACACTATGGACCTACTTACCTAGCGACCTAGCGAAGGTCGCGGGAGCACCTTAATGCAGGCTGCACAGAATTGATCATTGTGAAAATCTTTAGGGAGGCCTTTTCCAGCAGTAGAATCTTTCTCAAAACCAATTTAAAAAATATATTTCTTCTCAAGTAATTCGGTATGTTTTTTGTGTTTGTTTCCTCAGAATTCCGTTATATAAGAAACCGATTTGAAAACAATGTTCAGAAATATATTACTCCCACTTTGGCGCGCGTGGATAGTGTAGGAAAATCCTCAATACTCAATCGTTTATTGCTATCTCAATCGTTTATTGCTATTACCACATTAGCATTCACATTAGGTCTTACAATTTAGGCAGTTATACAATGTGGACCATTTCGCTCTGAAGAAAGAAAGAAAGAAAGAAAAATCTTTATTTGACAACAACAATAGTAGAAAATAGATACATTCATTTTAGAACACAAACATCAAAAAGGAAAAAATAATAATAAAGTTGTCATAAAGGCCACCCACTCAGTAACGTCTTGGCCCGTTGACCAAGACACTGATTTTCAGTGGGCGCCTTTTTGTACGTAGGGGCATTCAAATATACAAAATAAAAAAAAATTGCATTAAATAATTATAAATTAAAATTAGTCAAAATAAAAAGAATTAAAAAAAAAAATTGGACTGATGACTCTTGACTTTGATACTTAATCTGATAATGATAAATTTATTTTCTTCACCCAGGGCGACAGCGGCGGCCCCATCCAGCTCAAGAGCAAGAAACTCCACTGCATGTATGTGGTGACAGGAGTGACGTCATTCGGGAAGCAGTGCGGGAACAAGGGCGAGCCGGGGATCTACACGCGCGTGGCGCACTACGTGGACTGGATCGAGGGGATCGTGTGGCCCAACTAAGGGGGTCATGGGTGTAACGAGAGGGAGGGGAGGGGTGACATTGACATTTATAATGTGACAACGCATTGAAGACTCGCTGACATTTGAATCCAAAAACACCCTTCCGTGCCGCTTCAACCTATAGCTTCATCCTCGTAAATAAATAGTATGCCACTAATCTTCTTTATCTAAGTCATTTTAGTGTCTAAGCATGGGTATTCTTGTCTAAAAAATCTCCTATCTTAGGCTAGAATGCCCCCCTTTCCCAGGTTAGAATTCCCCCTCTCCTAAGCTAGAATGCCCCCTCTCCTAGGCTAGAATGCCCCCCTCTCCTAGGTTAGAATGCCCCCTCTTCTAAGCTAGACTTCCCCTCTCTCCTAGGCTAAAATGCCCCACATCTTAGGCTAGAATGCCCCCTTCTCAAGCTAGAATGCCCCCCTCTCTTAAGCTAGACTCCCTCTCTCCTAGGTTAAGATGCCCCCTCGCCTAAGCTAGAATGCCCCCTCTCCTAGACTAGGAGGCCCCATCCAGCTCAAAAGCAAGAAACTCCACTGCATGTACGTGGTGACGGGAGTGACGTCATTCGGGAAGCAGTGCGGGAACAAGGGCGAGCCGGGGATCTACACGCGCGTGGCGCACTACGTGGGCTGGATCGAGGGGATCGTGTGGCCCAACTAAGGACCCAGAGAACGGAGCTCAAAACTTTAATTACTAACAGCCTTAATAAGTAAAGTAAAATAAAAAAAACTAGATTATGTTTCATTGTCAGAAAAGAAAGAATACCATTTATACCATACAATAGATAAAAAAGAAAGAAATACTTATTAGACTACTAGCAATTAGGCAATAAATACATTTTTTATTTTTTTTTATTTTTAGCAGACCAGTTAAAGTAAGATGATGCTACACAGTCTAAGTATCTTGACTAAAACAATGACCTTAACCAAACATTGACCCCCCCTTGTTCCTATCCTAGACTAGGAACCCCCNGGCGAGGATGAGCGTAAAGAGTAAGACAGTAGCTCCCCTTGGACAATGAGGGCTATCGTTTTTATACTTAACAGTTGGCACCCCTGGCGATTGACAGGACCTTACTCTACAGTGGCGCCATCTTGATGAGTGCAAATGCGATAGTCCTCCTACCACTTTAGCACTCACCAGATGGTGCCACTGTCTTCGCTACTAGCAAGTGACAGGACCTTACTCTACAGTGGCGCAAACTGGTGAGCGCTAAAACGATAGCCCTCATTGTACGCCTTTGATTTGTCCTCAGTGTCAGAGTGTGGCTTACCCCTGCACTATAATTACCCCTCTCCTGGACTAGAATGGCTCATCCAGCTCAAGAGCAAGAAGCTGCACTGCATGTACGTGGTGACGGGAGTGACGTCATTCGGGAAGCAGTGCGGGAACAAGGGCGAGCCGGGGATCTACACGCGCGTGGCGCACTACGTGGACTGGATCGAGGGGATCGTGTGGCCCAACTAAGGGGATCAGGGGAGGAATGTAACTAGACGGAGGGAGGGTAGCCCCCTCCTGGAAAATAAAATGCTGATAATCTTCCTTGTTTTTGTCTTTAAGTGTCTAAAAACTGATCATCCCCCCACCATGCCTCTCTCCCGAAGTTTTAAACTGATTTGCACCCCTTGCATCAGAATGCCCCCCTCTCTTAGGCTATAATGCCCCTCTCTCCTAGGTTAGAATGCCCCCCTCTCCTAGGTTAGAATGCCCCCCTCTCCTAAGCTAGAATGCCCCCTTTCCCAGGTTAGAATGCCCCCTATCCTAAGCTAAATGCCCCCCTCTCCTAGACTAGGATGCCCCCCTCTCCTAGGCTAGAATGCCCCCCTCTTCTAGGTTAGAATGCCCCCCTCTCCTAAGCTAGAATGCCCCCTCTCCTAAGCTAGAACGCCCCTTTCTCTTAAGCTTGAATGCCCCCCTCTCCTAAGCTAGAATGCCCCCCTCTCCTAGGCTAGAATGTCCCCAATCCCATGTCTTGGACTAAAATTCCCAAAAGTTGACTAAAAGCTAAATCCTATAGAATGAAAAGAACTGTTTTATTGTGTAATGATAAAAATGATTTGATACTTTTATAAATAAAATAAAATTTAAAATTATTTTTTGTGTGCACTTTACTTATAGACTAAGAGCTAGTGAACGCCAGACCTACGTTATTTTTAAAAGCTGAAAGTCTGTCAGCGCATGCTCCCAACATAGGTAAGAACGTTGGTGTATCATGAAGTTTGGGTCATATGGCTTTAGCAGCTACCCTAAAATGATTGTCTGGTAAGGTTCAAAAGGTTCGGGACTCACACCACTCATTCCCAAATCCCACCGCTGCAACTCCTGTGTAGCCAGGATCTACAGCTTGACCGCCAATAAAAACTCAACCAGTGAAGGTCAGTTTATCCCGAGGGAAAGTTAAACTGTCATTGGACTTGAAATTATAGTTCCAAAATACTGAACTGTCCTATCGATGACATTGACAGCGGGGCGCCACCGTCAATACCGAATCGCTGGTTCCGATTTTTGCCATGTTGGAAACCATATAGTTGAACGATGGTAGCGCCCTCCTGTCATTGAGTTTGGTGGGACAGTTCAGCGTGGGTCATCTATAATCGAAATTTCCCCCGTTTCTGAATTGACATTTTTAATTCTAGCGAGTTTTGGCTTTCCACTATTCCCCGTTGACAATCCCCGTTAACGCCAATTGGAACTTATTAAACTTATAATGGGGAATAATGAACTAAAAAGTTCACGTAACAAGTGGGTTAATCCCCATTATGTTAAAAATAAAATCCTAATATAACGGGTATTAATGAACTTGTTTGTTCATTATTCCCCATTAAGCTCCAATTGGCGTTAACGGGGATTAGTGAACAAAAAGTTCACTATTCCCCGTTGACGGGGATTGTCAATGGGGAATAGTGGAATAAGCCCGAGTTTTGACCGTTTTTTTGTAATTCAGACCTAACCCATTCTGACTTTCGCCCGTGCGTGCGTTCCATGCGCAAACGCATGCCACGTGGCTTGTTATCGCACATCAATAGAAGCGTTGTGGGAACACGTGAGGCCGAGGACCGCGGATTCAATGGCAGACTATATTTGTATGAATTACTGATACTGGCTCACAGATCACAGACCGACCTGTGAGTTGCGGGTGAGATTCAATCATCATCATCATTTCAGCCACAGGGCGTCCACTGCTGAACATAGGCCAATGATGTCCACATCGCCCGGTTGGTAGCCTGCATCCAGCGCCTTCCTGCTACCTATAAGAGGTCGTCGGTCCACTATGATACTTACTCTGAATTCAATACTTACCTACTCGTAAGTATCGTAGAAATCTTTGGCGCTAAACACGAAAGGATGGATGGATGCTGCAGACTTAATGGTGGAAGCTGCAGATTTGGCCAGTTTTTATCAGAATTAAAAAATATGTAATTTTGAATAGCTTTATAAAATGACTGATGTAATGAAAACTGGCCAAGTCGAATCTAACCTTGTTAAAGTTATTTTGTTCCTTAAAAACAATATGGATTTTGTATAGAACTTGGCACTCATTTAGACCTCCCATTTTTTTTTTGCGCCGAAGCCCACAGCCAAGCATAATTTTTGTATTGAACTTGGCTCTCCTTTTTTATATTTATGTTTTTGGTGGGATGCTATCATCCTATTTACACTACACGACTGGCTTACAGTGTATCAAACCGCTTTTTAGGGTGACCAATGTCTGTGGCCCAGTGGTTATTATAGCAGTCGCCAGCACATGAGAGTGGGTTCGAATCTCAGGGCAGCCTTTTAAAATTTGAAATCACGTTATTTTTTTATGCAGTGTTTTATTTCAAACTATATGTCACATCTGGGAACCAAACCTGTAACTTTCGTGTCCGGAAGCATCGAACTTGTCATATTTATTTGTCTTCTAATAATTCATCTGTCATTTGTAACTTTTGTATTAAATTACTTTCGTGACCACAAACTCAGAAATAAATGTCCTTGCTGCACAATATTAGATAGCTTGAGGCCGACATATTCAAATTAATATTAATATTTCAGTCGAGTGCTCATTCATTCATTTTGCGAGCATCATTCGTTTTGTAAAACTCTGCGAAAGTTTAAAATACAAATATTCAAAAGCACCCTGTACTAGCCGTCCGCGCTAAGTTTGCCGGTCCGTGGAATGCGCGTCCTCTCCCCCAACCGCGATTAAACGCAATTAGTTTGTGATTAAATGCAATTAATGTGTCTTATTTTACGCAAATACACAATTTTTATCAATAATAATGAATAAAAAATGATTTAAATATAGTTTTTTATAGTTATAGACGCTTCTCTTCGAGTGACGTCATATCGCCAGCGGCAAAACTTAAAGCAAACGGGTAGTACCTACCTACCTTTAGGTAATCAGCATACCATGTCATAACATCTGTAAGTAGGTAGGTATTCAATTTTAATTTTACTGAGCTGACGAGACGTAACGACGTAACAAACCTGTCGCAGTTCACACTCGCTAGTGTTGCCTGTTGAATAGTATCGATATCTCAGAATATCACAATATTTTTCAACACCATCATTGGCGAATATAGTGTGCACCATTAAAACCATTTACTTATAAAAACTTAACAAATTAATCCATGTCATGTCAATTCTGAAATGTCAAATGGAAAAAAATCGGAACTTTAATAACCCTGTATTCGATTGTGTGTGATGTCTTTTTTGTTTTAGGTACGATATGTCCGCTTAGTTTTGCAGTTGAATTATTATCTTTTTTTTTATTTTATTCATAACATTGTGTAAAAGCTGCGCACGTGACATTGGCGGAACTGTGTGCCCCCAGTGGCTAAAAAACACAAGTCCATCGCCATCAACAAATGAAGAAGAAGAACCCTGTATTGATCTGTCAATGTCATAGCTGGGACGGTTCAGTAACGAACAAAACAACTATAGTTTAACTGTCTAACTATGTCGCCATGGAGGGTAGTTGAACAGAAAGCATGTTCGAACTGTTTTATTATTTGATAAACTTCAGTTACGTTCAAATCTGGTGTTAATTTGTGTTCTAAAGTGCAGTGAAGTGAATATTAATGTGTAATTAAGAAGGGTTCGTGAAAGTGCACGATATTGAAGACAAAACAAAACTGCAACATTGACTCAGTAAGTAAAAAAAAAACCTATTGTTAAATTAGGACTCTTATGCTCTTTAACACATGAACCCCGGCTGGATTGCACCATCTTACTTTAACTTTGACAAACGTCAAAAATCTGTCGAACTCCATACAGTAACACCGGTTATCGTCATAGTTACGGTTAAAGTTAGGTGGTGCAACTCACCCTAAGTGGTCGTATCGTCGCATCCGCATGAGACCGCAGTAATTGATTTCTATCGTGTCGTGATTCGCTGATACTTGAAGGGTTAAATCACTATTTTTGGTATTGTAAAATTTTATCGATATTTTGCTTTTCACACTACCGTGAACTACGCTGTCATGACAGCAGAACTATCGATGACCTGTCGATATAAATCATCGATATCTCGGCAACACTAGCACACGAGACACGTTACATGCGCGTGAGTCGATCCGCACCGAAATAGCGCAAGGCCCTTCCGTGGCCGTAGGGTCAGTATTAAGGCCAGATTGTGAACCTTACTGCATAGTTAATAAATAACGGGCTTATTTTGAGCTTCCTCGAGTAAGCTCGCATCGTAAATTTTATACAAAGGCAGTTAACATACTTATTAATCAACTGCTGTGCGAAACGCGTGAAAATAGGTTTAAAATCAAAATTATCTTTATTTGTGTAGTCTAATTAAATTAGTAAACAAATCATCAAATTCTCTTAAGGAGCCTATACATGTCTCATTTTTTTTTGCCCTACCAGCGCTTCGAGACAAACATTTGTAAGTTCTGAGAAGAAGCGCCGCAACAAACTCAGTCACCACTGTCTGAATTGTTTGAATACTTTTTCTCATATTTGCAAATTTTTTCAGAGATGCTCTGTCTCTATTCTATTGGTCGCAACGTGATGTTATAGCCTAGGTAGGTAGGTATAGTTTTCCTCGATAAATGGACTATCTAATACAAAAAAAGGATTTTTCACGTCAAACCTGAGAATAGCTAGCCAGGCGGACTTAAACAAGCCCTTCCATCAACCAAACTGAAAAGAAATATCTGCCCCCACTGGGAATCGAACCCTTGGGCGGGACATCTAAAGCAGGTGATCTTTCCACTAGACCACAGAGGCGGTGAGGCAGCGATAGTATAAAAAGTTGTGTGTGATTTTAGTGCTTTTTATATGGGAAAACTAAAAAAAGTACTTTGTATGGGGATTTTTTTTAGTTTTTTTACTGACTGATCAGCTGTTAACATGTGTGTATGTATAGGGCAGTAGCTTGCCAATATTTATTCTGTGGTATGGGTAAACTTTTTATAATGAAACAAAAGCATTAATTAATAAAAAATGTATTTAAAAATATGGGATCTGTCATAACTGATTCACGTAGAAAATAATTACAACTCAACATACTTACTTAAACATAATCATTATCTACAAAATAAATGTTTTACATTTAATCAGTTCTTTCATTAAAATCATTATACAACCCTCTTTACAAATAATGATAATTCGTTTAAATATAAACTTTCGCGACAAAAATAATTTACTTCCATTCATCATCTTTTTCAAATAATTCGTATAAAAAACAACGGAACGCAATTATTGGAAATATACAATCATTATTACTTATACACTAATTATAATAATAAGTTATTTAAGATAATTTCGCTGTTTATTTGTATATTTATCAAATAAATCCATCGCTATAATGACATTTCACTGTAGCGTGATTATTGTTATAGAATATAAATAATACACTAGCACAATTTTGTATATTATGACAAAAATGCGGTGTACACTATATTCAGACTCGGTTTAAAGTAGTAGCCTTACACTATATTGGCACAGAAATGTTTACATTGAAATAGCACAGATACAGAGTATAGTGTTCCAGTAAGAGTTAATTAAATTGCTAAGAGCATCGCTATAAGCCTCAAAAAGAATCAAAAGATAATAGTTAAATAAATATTTATTTAAAAAACAATATTTGAAACTGTGATTTGCTGCGTATAGAGCAGAAAGTTTAGTAAAATAAGAATTTTAATACAGAAACAATATTAATAATTATGTACAACATAAGAATGTTCGTTCATCTTTCACATTAGCTAGCTATCTCTTCAATTTAATTAACTCTTACTGATTTTTTTTACATTCTTGAGCAATATTCTAATCTCAAATTAATAGGAGATCATTTGGAGAAAACATTATTATTATTATTATTTTATTTATTTTAATAAAATTAAGTAACTTTTAGATGAAAAACTGTTCCTACTGCTGCTTCTGTTGATAGCCAGGATCTACTTGACCCCAATAACCTGATAAACAGCCAGCAACTATGTAATACATGCCCCTGCCTCTTCTCTGATTGTTTATAAATATTTGCAATAGTTTATAGTCTGAACATGATCTTATTAAAATTAATATTCATGGTAACACAATTACAAAGTCAGTATTTGCAACTCTGTTATCTTTCCGGAGATAAGGAGATGAATACCTTCATAATTACCAAACAAATAGGCAATTTGTCTTATCTCTCGTTACTACATACTTTAAGCACGTGGCTTGGCCTTTGCTAATTTTGGGTTATCACAGATGATTTTATCGTGAATTTTATTTGCCACCAAAAGACCTATTTTTCAAACATCTGGGTTTTTACGCTTGGTCCAATTTATCATTAGTTATATCAAAATAAGCGTGAAATAGACACAAAAATACTACTTTAGATTAAGAAAAAAAGTAATTAAGTTCATTAGGAACATGTCTGAATAGTGTCTCAAATATAGTTCAATTTATGACAAAGTTTTTAAAACCTGTCATTTTCTTAGGAACTTTATACAGTGTGTCCGGGCATGTAGTGATCAAACTTTAAGGGCGTAATCTATTGACAATTTTATCGGTGAAAATACTTTAAATTTGGGGCTTGACCCATTTCTCGCATATTTACAAGGATTTAAGTTTTTAATTTTAAGTTTTCACCTCTTCCTTCAAAAACAAGTGATAGCGTGGGTAACTTAACATTAATAAGCAAATATTTTATATCATGCGATAGCCAATAAAATTATCTACTAGTAGAAGTAGAAAACAGACACAAGTTTCATACATTTTAAGGGAGTAAGAATGAATTTAATTAGAAATAAACACGATTTTTTTCACATCTTTTTCAGTTATTTCCCAACACAAGAAAAACCAGGTCGTTAAGGTATGTTTTATTTGCATTGTATTATTAGTATTTGAGCCATTCTACAAAACGAATGTAAATTTATTAGTCTACGTCTATTAGTTTCGACGTAATTGTTGAACAAAGATACCCCTTCCCAGCGGTTTCCATAGCGCACGCGACATACGAAAATGCACTGCCTGAAAGAATCACACAACCTATTCCGATTACTATGGAAACCGCTGGGAAGGGGTATCTTTGTTCAACAATTACGTCGAAACTAATAGACGTAGACTAATAAATTTACATTCGTTTTGTAGAATGGCTCAAATACTAATAATACAATGCAAATAAAACATACCTTAACGACCTGGTTTTTCTTGTGTTGGGAAATAACTGAAAAAGATGTGAAAAAAGTCATGTTTATTTCTAATTAAATCCATTCTTACACCCTTAAAATGTATGAAACTTGTATCTGTTTTCTACTTCTACTAATAGATAATTTTATTGGCTATCGCATGATATAAAATTTTTGCTTATTAATGTTAAACTACCCACACTATCACTTGTTTTTGAAGAAAGAGGTGAAAACTTAAAATTAAAAACTTAAATCCTTGTAAATATGCGAGAAATGGGTCAAGCCCCAAATTTAAAGTATTTTCACCGATAAAATTGTCCATAGATTACGCCCTTAAAGTTTGATCACTACATGCCCGGACACACTGTATAACATAGTGATTTTTATTTCATAAAAGTCACAATATTAGCCATCCCCTTACATCATGTATAGTTATATCACTATTATTATTCGAAGTGGAAATATGACTATAATTTCAGTAAATGACTAGATTAAATTAATATTTTCTCAAAATAATCTCCATCGTTTGGCACATTAGGAATTTGACGTTTCAAACCGTCAAAAATAATCATAGTTAACCGTAGTAAGGTACAATTAGAGTACTAAACGTCAGACACCAGTCACATACGTGAAATAATGTGTATTGACGATGACACATATTGACGTATAGACAATAATATGACGTGACGCAACATGACGTAGGTATATAAACGTCATATACCTACACACACTTGTTCATTCTCACGTACAAATTTTAATATCAAAGACATATTGGACAATAAGTAAACATATACAAGAAGACAATATAGTGTCAATATCTCCTAAATTAGTAGGACAATATAGTGGCAATATTGCCTAAATTAGGACAATATGGCTTGTATACTTTTACTTCCTTCATTATCAGATAAATTCATTTATGCATATTAAGTGAAATATATTACAATTATAATTGATTTATAAATAATAATTATATTTATATATTCGACTTAATTTATCGACGGCATGTATAATCAAATATAATTAATAATAGCAGACCTATAGATTGCGATCACCTTTACATTTAACCAAATTAACAGAAATTAATCTCAGTCTTAATATTATTTACATATTTTTCTCACTAACAAACGGTATGTTTGCCAAAATTGAGAATAATAAAAACAGAACCCTTATGGCGTAGTCGGGTAATAAGTAATAAATTTGTTAACGACATTGAAACGTTTGTTCCGATTGTTAATTAGATAAGTATAATAGTCCCTGTAAGTGAATTAGCAACTTATAATATAAAGTAGGTACATTATCATGTAGCTAATGTGTATAGTTAACAAATAAATTAAAATGACAATGAGTTGAGTCAGTGAACGTATATTTTATCTATCACTGTCTCACAGTTAACTGACATTAGTAGTTATATCTCAGAAATAAATAACATTAAAGTTATATTCGAGAAAACTCGTAACTTCAAAATAACTTCTCGATTTTGGCAAACAGCGTTGTTTTCGTACTCGAGTATGACCCTTAAATGAACATACATAAGATAGACTTTCGTATTCTCAATGCTAGTATTCGCATGCTGTTTTTATACATACCTACATTAGTTACCATGCAAATTAATCTAGCTACCGTTTTTATCAGGTTGTATCAGAACCTGATCGAATCAGCACCGTTTGAGCACTCGGCTCGAATGTAAGAAATAAATTCCAAGTCCCGACTTACTGAAGTGTATCCTTTGGCACACACAACGGTATGGCACTAACAATCACAAATAAACCAACATATTTGGAATTCTGGACCAACATTGGACAAATTAATTTCACCAGTACGGCACAGTTCCATTTCCATCCGACCGCGCGATCCAAGAGTTTCCAAACTTTATTCTAGCAGTAGAAACGGCTGGCAAGTTCCTGACTGAAGACTTCTCTATCGTGTAGTTCTGTCCCTTATTGTTGTCCCAGTACTCCTCCCCTTTGCATTTGAAGCACACGCAGAAATCCAGCCGTCTCGAATGGATTGGCAGCTGCAATCTGAACCCAAAAGTATCATACAGAGACGCGCCGTTCTTGTTCAGAGGCCCTGATTCCACGAACGCACAGAAAGTGTCCTCACTCGTCGTCCACCCATCAGAGGTGGTTCTGACAAACACTTCTTTGAGAAAATCCAAGTTCTTAACTTTCACTGTCCCGTCTACGGCACATTCATTCTGTTTCACTATCACATTCTCCAAAGCAACACAGTCTTCCGTGATCCTCCTCCGGAATTCCACATAATCTGACGCTGGCTGAACAAACCTGGCTTCCCATAGATCCACCGCCGGTTGAGGAGGCGGTTTTCGTTCCTGTGGAGGACTCGCTACCACTTTTAGAGCCCAATACGGCGGCACATGCGACGGCTCCGTCATGAATTTCACTTGTTCCAACGCTAACCCTCGATCATCAGCAAAAACCACTTTTTTCTTCTTCTTCTCCGTCGGCATTCTGATGCAAGACCGCGTAGCTGTTTTAAGGCTCAACTGGACTGGTTTGAGAGCTGCAGCTGTCAGACATGGCGCCGAATATCCTCGAGACGTCAGCTTCGTTGGTCTTCTGACTGGTGGTGTGTAGTCGGCGAGGAAGCCAGCTGGCGGGCTGTGGCCGTAAAACATTTGTTCCGAGGCCAGCATGTCGATTGCGGCCATATCTGTAAGAACGCGTATGTTACTGCGGCAATCGCGCGAACTAAACCTCGAACAGCGCGCGCACGGCTTATATAGACGCGCGCGCATGTTATACGCTGATATGAATAAACTTGGGGCGACCATGCTGGAGGAATGTGTGGGATAAAGAGGGAGTTTATTGACTGGGTGGAAACGGGTCAGGGGCGTGTCCTTTGTTAGCGTGGACGTTATTGCGTTGCCCTTGTTCAGTTTTGGGAGAGGTATTTTGGGATTTTACGATCTGTGACATGTTTAATAATGAGGAGACATGACGGTGAATAAATACTGTTTAAACATAATGTACAAACAACTACAACAGAACAATAAAATAAATTAAATCTATCCTACTGATTCAAAAACAAAATGCGTGTCCACGAGGCATGAGGCGAGGTTTCTGGCTGCATTTCCTCACTACGAGTATTTTATCTTTGCGCAGTAAAAGATTTATCAATTTAGACGAAACTGTCCAAGGGATAATTTTGCGTGATTTAGTTGTTTTTTAATAGGTTCATCTTAGGACGTTTTAACACGGTGGCAGTGGCACCAAGCCCCAAACTAGGCAGAGCTGGCTTTTTAAATCTATATTTACGAACACAGTCATGGGTAACTTTGAACAGTAAAAAAGAATTTCATTCATTAGTAATAACTATCGTAAAAATCATCTCTCGCCTGCCGCTTGGTTTGGTCGCTCTACCGAGCACGCGGCCTTCAGCTGTAAACGTCTCAATTTTTTCTTTAACGAAAATAATATTCAATTACAGTACTACTAGAAGCAGGACCAGTCCCGACTCTCGCCTACCCCATGGTCGCCCTACCGAACACGCGGCCATCAGCTGAGCGAGCGGCGCACGCGCATGATCACTAGGAAGTCGGATTTCGGAAGCCGATAACAAGTTTGACAGACGCCGTCTGTCCACATGTTTTAGACGTTTTCGTAGGCTGATAGGCCGCAGATTTTTAATGTTGATAACTCGATAATATTTTAAATTGTTACTATGCAGCAAACTCCTCGTATGTTGTTCTGATTAATTTCGTTGCGGGCCCAATGACAGTTTAACTTTTCCCCGGGACAAACTTGACCTTCACTGGTTGGGTTATTGGCGGTCAAGCTGTAGATCCTGGCTATACAGGAGTTGCAGCGGTGGGAACGAGAGGTGGGAATAGTCCCGTTATACAGCAAGTGAAGGAAATTAATAAACAAAGATGACTGGGTTTCTGAAAGAATGAATGAAAGAGAAATGGCGGACATTTATTTTCAGCACCAGCTGATGTTGCCCCGAAGTGTTTGTAGGGCAATTTATATTTGGGATGTGCCCTGAAAAGGACCTATCAAAATATTTTCAAAATATTCAAAATAATTTACGGAATTAATCCCCTCTCTTTCCCATCCCAGCAACTCCTGTAGGTATAGCCTTGGCCTCCAATTAAACCTAACCAACGAAGGTTGAATACTCCCGGGGGATATTCTTGGTATCCGCAAAGAATTTAATCAGATGAATATAGAAGTTTTAAATATAAAATCGACTTTTCTTCGATGCAAAGTAGGAGATATACGAGTATATGACTGAAAGAAAAGGTATTAAACCTTAACACCCTTGTGTCAGGAATGGGCTCACAATAGTCCAGCGTAGGGTAGGAATCGAACTAGCATCCTCGAATTGGCAGTCCGATGCCCACACTGTTGGGCTATTGTAACTTGATTCAATAAATGTCATCGAATAAATTATGGAGTTACTGACTTCTTTCTGTGCCACAGAAAGTCTGTATCGCGCGATAAAACAAGGTCGTGATGTAAATTGTATTGAAACAATCTTGATTTGTTACTAAAGGAATAAATATGCATTTTGAGAGCCATTATTTGAGGAATTATTGAATTTATATTACCCGTCGTACCTAAGTTATGTCCATTGGAAATAATGTCGTAGGATTCTACTAGTAAAATATTTTTTTCTAATAAATCCAGTAGTTTTGGAGCCTATTCAATAGAAACAAACGATCAAATCTTTCCCCTTTATAATATTAGTGTAGATTTAATCTAAAACGGATCAGCGTGAAGCTGTCAGTGACATCGAAATTCGCAGGCGAAGTCGCGAGCAAAATCTAGTAACTGAAGTATAAAAGATATTTATTTCACTCTCGTTTACATTCTTTCATTAGAACATACTCATCAATGATTTTAACAAATATGTCAACAATTTATTTGCGTCAACAAATAATACATAAAAACATAAAATACCCGAACGTAAAGGAAAATAGTTAATATTGATTGATTTCCCTACTTAGGTAAGTACTCGTATTGTATCCGTATGATTTATTTATGGATTAGTGTTTCTGAAAATTATACAAGTATGTTAGTAAACCTAACATTCTGAAAAGTGTGTAGGTATAATCATCGTTGACTAATTGATTTTATATCAGAAATGAGGAGATCCGTAAACGAACTAAAGTCGCTGACATAGCCCGACGGAAGTGGCAATGGGCAGGGCACATAGTACCCAGAACTGTTGGCCGATGGGGCAGCAAGGTTCTGGAGTGGAGGCCACCTACCAGAAAACGCAGCGTGGGACGTCCACGCAAAAGGTGGACCAAAGGTAGCAGGAAGGCGCTGGACGCAGGCCCCTACCAATCGGGCATTGGGGGAGGCCTATGTTCAGCAGTGGACGTCCTATGGCTGAGAAGAATTTTGTTCAATTTTGTTATAGAAATTCACGCGAGTAATGAAGCGAGAAAAAATATCACACACACAATACATTACAATCAATTACCTAATAATACCCAGGTAAGATCGCCATAATGGTGATGGGTATATCACCCGATTTTCATCATCAATGATGATGATTCACGTTGCATGCCTCACCAAAATAGTTTCTTTGTCCGTACAGTATACCTACATATAATACCTATAAAATATTACCTATTACAAGGTACATAAGATGCTAATATTATTTAGCATGTATGTGATGTTGTACGAACACGGGGTAGACGTACTATTGCGTAATTAAATAGATTTATAGAAAAGCGTGATTTATGAATTAGGTAGGTACCTACATTTGGCGCTGAAAAATTGACGTTCTGCCAAACTGCCAACATTGGTGCATTTACGAGAAATAAAATAAACTATAGGTTTATAGTTTTTAATAATATTTGACCATTGGTTATTTTAACTACGAATCAACAAACTCAATCAAAGTCTAAATGTGATTAATGCATTTCATGAATGAGTGTTTCATACTGTATTTAGATTAAAATAAATTACAACATGAACAATAGTGGTGTCAAAAGTTGCAATCGTTTACAAGATCAGTCGATTGACGGTGCAATGGCCCATGATAGCATATAAAACATCGAATTAGAGTGACAGCACGTCAAGAGTTACATTTTTATTGAAAAGACGCATCTATTACAATTAAATAAGATCTACAGTGGAAAGCTTGATATGCCTGTATACAAACATGATTATCACGTTTTATTGTCATGCATAAAATAACAGTGTTTTTAACGAAACAGGTGATAATCTGCATATACGTGCCGATATGCCGTATTTATCAATGTGAACATTTTAGGCTTTTTAGGATTCCGTACATGCAGGTTAGGGCTCGTTCCAATGGCAATCCAGTTTAAATTTTGCTGGGATACAGTAATGCAACATCCCGCAAAACTGGACTGTCCTGTGAACATGCGGGACACTGCAAGCGGAATGTTCGGTGAACGTCAACGTTAAAAATAAATAAAACACGTATACTACTAAACACACAACGTGACACATCAGAACGGAATCAGTTTCATACATTATGCGACACGTCAAAAGTCAACTTGACACTACACAACACTCCAGTCTAGTGTATCGAACCGTGTAGTGTCGTCACGTGAGTCACGACTCGTGACGCATCAGAACGGAATAGGTTTCATACATTATGTGACACGTCAGAAGTCATTATGACACACGCTCTAGTGTGTCGAACCTTGCATAAAGGCAGGTATTTGACCGCAATCGCACCTGGTGTTAAGTGAGATGCAGTCTAGGATTGTACATTTATCTGCCCTGTAAGTGCCTATTCACTCTCGCCTTAAAAAAGGCCCGAATTAAAGTTAGATCGTTTATGACATGTATGTACGGATACGGGATCTTGGTAAATATATCCGGCTCACACTTAGCCGATTTTTTTTATCAATATGACAACAATTTTAGGCACTTCGAGTTGTACCTACATGTAGTTCTTATCACTTATCAATTACATTATTATTATGAGAAAAAGATTAAATATTTTATTGGACAAATTCCCCCAAGTTGTGTTTTTGTTAACACTGATAACTGGGTTAGTCATTGTAATACAAAGTATCTCACTGGTGGGTAAGATTTACCTTTTATCATCATCATCATTTCAGTCATAGGACGTCCACTGCTGAACATAGGCCTCCCCCAATGACTTCCACATTGCATGGTTGGTAGCGGTCTGCATCCAGCGCCTTCCTGCACCCTTTATCAGGTCATCTCGTAGACGTCCCACGCTGCGCTTTCCGGTACGCGGCCTCCACTCCAGAACCTAGCTGCCCCATCGGCCGTCAGTTCTGCGTACTATGTGCCCTGCCCAATGCCACTTTAGCTGCAGTAAGGCACTGGATCTCAGATTATAGAAGGGACTGGATGCAGGCCGCTACCAACCGGGCGATATGGAAGTCATTGGGGGAGGCCTATGTTCAGCAGTGGACGTCCTATGGCTGAAATGATGATAATGATGATCCAACTCAAAAAGAGAGTGAAAAATACAGGTGAGATTAAAAAAAAACACGCAGAAAAATACGCCGATACGTTATCACGTCTAGACAACACGCGGGTATCACGCACGCATTCCGTGTTAATATTGTATTGAGTACCTAATCAAAATCGGTCAAGTGCGTGTTTCGATATGATTGTGTCTAAATCTACGATAGACCTTGGAAGGGTTAAATATAGGTAGAAACTACATAAAATCATAGTTAAAAACTATAATAATTGAAGGGTTGAGTGGACAAAGGTCTTAACTAACAAAATGAGTTATGAG